AAAAAAAAATCCTTATCCAGGAATAGTACAGCACAGCTACCTGAGAGGCTAAGTCAGGAAGATGGCTTAAGCACAGGAGTTTAAGGCCAGTCTGGGCAACATAGTAATACTTTATTATATCAGAAAAAAGAGGGAAGGGAGGGAAAAAAGGATGGAGGCAGGCAAGCTGATAACTGTACTAGAAATGATATATTTAGAAAATAAGCATTTTCTATGCAACACCCAGTATAGTAGCTCATTCAGGCAAAGATCATCAATGAATGCTCAAATCATTAGGTAAATAGTTTGCTGGAAACAGGATATTCATATGGTACCAAAATATCACCCCACAAATGACTAATTACAAAGAGGAAAAATGTAATTTACATTGGAATTTCATGGCAATTAATGACCTCAACAATATTATTATTAATATTAGTGGAACAACCTGTCATTAGTGCCTCCTAATTTGATATAAGATGAATACCTAACAGCAGTTCTGAACTATTTCAATCCAACATCTTAATCTGAGTCTAATTCTGTTACTAGACCCAGCTTCTAGTTTACAGAAGTACAGGGAATGGAGGAACAAATTAAACACCACCAAGGGAACAATCAGACAAAATTTAAAATGTGGGACAATCTACAAAACAAATGACCTAAATTAAAAGAAATTAAGCAGACAAAAACTAAACATGGGAACCTTGATTAGATACTATTTGAACAAAGTTACAAAAAGACATTTTGGGACAAATGTGAAAACTGGAATATGGACTAGATATTAGATGATTTTAAGAAATAATGATTAAAAATAAATTGTCAATTAACATAAAAATGTTTAACCTTACTAATTATTAAAACAAAATGTTAAAATTTGCCTATCAATACTGGTGACAGTAAAAATTAATACAATTTTTTGGGGGCAGGACAATCTGGTAACATGTAACAAAAGTTTTTAAAATGTTTATATACTTTACCCAGCAATTCCACTTCTAGGCATTCATCCTATAGAAATAAGAGTTGTACATAAACATTTATTGTCCAGAATATTTACTACAGCAGTACTAATGAAAATGGAYACAACCTAATTATCCAAGATGGAATAAATTATGTAACAGAACTCTTTGTAATCATTAAAAATCTTAATGTGGAATATTCAATGTGTAAAGGTCCTTAAAATGCATTAAGTATAAAGAAAGCGATTACAAAATAAGTTAATTTCCCTGTATATATTCTACCTTATAGGAAACATAATTATCAAAATGTTAACTTTATAGAATGAATTGGTAAGTGATTTTAATTTTTTTCTTTGTAGGAGAGAGATCACTGTTTCTAATAACTGAAAGAATAAAAAAATGGAAGAGCAAAGTTTTTTTTTAATAATCCTAGACAACAAACTAAGAACTACCACCTGAAATTACAGGGAAGCCAAGTCTGATCCACTATAAGGAATCTTTCCAATAATTAAGAGTTTTCAAAGCAATAAATGGCCTACCTCATGATAATGGGTTATGTATATAAGAACTTCGATCAAAGGCTGAATGGTCATTTGGCAAAGATATACAGAACAGATTTATGTGTTAGGAGATTAAGGAGAAGATCTTAATGATCCTTCCAACTAGAACTAATAATTTCATATAAAGTTTTTCACTAGTAGCAGAGATGCTAGGAAGGAATTTATATATATATATATATTTTTTTTTTTAAAGAGAGAGTGAGAGAGAGAGGGGGACAGAGAGAGAGAGAGAGAGAATTTTAACATTTATTTATTTTTTTCTTAGTTCTCGGCGGACACAACATCTTCGCCTGCATGTGGTGCTGAGGATCGAACCCGGGCCGCACGCATGCCAGGCGAGCGCGCTACCGCTTGAGCCACATCCCCAGCCCTATATTTTTATTTTGTAGATGGGTTATTAAAACCCCATATGGCGCTAAATTAAACAAAAGAAAGTATGCCTACATTAGAATAATGGAGTTAAATGATGATTTATTACATTCTGTGTCAATAATATACACATTATTGATAAAGTAAAAGATGACTAACCCAATGGAAAGAATTCAGAATGAATTAACAAGAACTACCTTTCAATTTGCCCCCTACTAGTTTTCTGTGTCTAATAAGAATCTGAAGAATTAAACTTTTCCAAGGCAAAACAGCTCTAAATATCTCAAAAGAAACACAAGAGGTACTGTACTACTTTTTTTTTTTTATTTAAAAAAAAAAAAGATGAAGAATAAGCCATTCCCCCTTTTTAATATGTGTACAAAATTTTAAGACTTTAGATATATGACTACTGGGCAGTAGAAAGTGACACAAAAATTTAGTATCTGATGGGCATGGGGGTGCACACCTGTAATCTCAGCTACATGGTAGGCTGAGGAAGGATAATTACAAAGTCAAGGCCAGCCTGGGCAACTTAACAAGACCCTCAAAATAAAAAATAAAAAGGGGGCCAGACTCAGTGATAGACTGCCTTGCCAATAACCTTTGTATTGGGTAACTCAGTGGTAGAAGCCTGGGATTCAATCCTCAGCAAAACACACACACACACACACACACACACACACACACACACACACGTATCATCCTGGATTCCTGGAAGACAGATGGAAATGCTAGAAGCCTATGAAAATTTTAGAATGTCTGTGATGCTGAAAATCATTAGACGTCAGAAGAAATTCCCTAAAAGATCTAATTTTAATTTTTAAAAATTAATTAACTAATTTATATATTTTTGTGGTACTGGATATTGAATCCAGGGGCGCTCTTACCACTGAACTACATCCCCAGCTCTTTTTGAGACAGATTCTTACTAAGTTGCCAAGGTAGCCTTGAAATTTTAATCCTCCCGCCTCAGCCTCCAGAGTAGCTGGGATTACAGGTGTGTGCCACCACACCTAGCTAAAGATGTAATTTTTAAAAATAAAAATATTCTTTTAATATGTAAATGTTCTAACTATACAAAAGTATAGTATAATGAAGACCCAGGCACCTATCACTCAGCCTCATCTAGCTACATTTTGTTAAAGCTATAACATTTAATTTTCCAGGTTTGGGTTTTTTAATTTTCTTTTGAGATTTCAATACCAGATATCACACTATTTTACCTATAAAAACTTCAGTATGAAAAGATGAACTTTCTTGTTAACAATAAGTATTCAATAAATGCTGGTTACCAGGACTAGGAATTATTCTATGAATTAAATTTGCACTTATACATATAATCTCACAAGCTAAGCCTCATTATTCTCATTTGACAACTGAGTTTATAATGGGTCATAAGAACTTCGGAAAAAATAAGCAGTGGTGCCAAAATATGAACCTAGACTAGATTTTTATTTTTTCAACCACTAAGGTCTGCTGCCTTTCCACATAGTTATTCTAGCTGCACCTTGGACATATGTATAGGAGAGGGACTGGTAAATGAGGAAGAGGATGGAATGGAAAATATTCTATAATATGAGCAGTTGCTCCTTGCTTTTCCTGTGAAATTTTCTTTAAATGGGCCAAATGAGAAAAGCAAAATGTAAGTAGGTATCAGTACCAACCACCTGAGGAGGAGGAAAGTCACCTCACAGAAAGAAAAGTAATGATAAGGCCTTTTCCACAGAACTTGAATATAAACAAATCTAATTTGTCCCTCCCCACAATATGGGTGGAAAGGTGTCTTTACTTCCACCAGATATAAAAAAACAGTTTAAGAAAAAAAAAAAAAATCTCACAAGCAGAGGGTTGAAAAATCAGAATTCTTTCTCCATTGCACTTTTATTTGAATGTAATATGATTGTTTAACAAAATCGTGAGTAGAAACTACGAGGACCTGGAATAAAAATGTCTTCTGATGGATAATTTGGGAGTTTCACTACAGGCTTATAAAACAAACGACTAATACAAAGTCTTTTAAAAAGAAAGGGGGGTGTCTTCTGCTGAAGGAATGACAATCCCCCTAAAACCTTCCCTAGCAACTAACAATAATCTTAAGAGTAATTACTCATGTCTTTCTCTGGAACTTACCTAGGATATCCTCCTTCCTCATCTTCCACTCTTCCCAAATGCAATCAGGTGAATCCTTCATAGCTTCTACTGTATTTTTTAAATGCAACTCTTTGGAGAACTAACCAATAGTGCTTTTTCCTTCCCTGAACTATGAATTTCCAGAGGGCCAAGATCCTCTATAACTTCTCTTTACATTTCCAATTTATAATCTTCAGACCTAGCACCGCTGAAAGTAACCAAGAAGGGTTTACTGAATGAATAGGAAAAGAAGCCAAAGATGGCAGAATTTCGAGTGATCTGTAGGAAAAAGAGTTCTTTTTATCAGTGTAAAACCACCCTAATTTCTGTACCTTCAATTCTGCCCACAAGTTTCCCTTTAGGAATTTCCCCATTAACCAAAAGTTCAAGCTGAATGGTAACATGAAATATACTCTTGAGAGTTGGAGAAAGATTCAAACCACTTTGGTCTGCAATAGCCTATAATGAAATACGGAAAAATTAGCTTAAAGAATTTTGAAAATAATCAAATCTTTTATACAGAAAAAATAGCTTGAAGAATCTTGAAAATAGTCAAACCTTTCAGAAGCTTTCATTCAGAAGCCAGGATACAGGATGGTGTTTGAAATGCTTGCTTTTTTTACATATAAATGCTAAAGTCAACAGGGAAAATAAATAATTTCAAATTAACTAGTAAGGTCATCAAATTCTACTACTTTTCAGGCAAAAATAATTCCTAGCAAAAAAAGTAGAGGTCTGAGCTACAGCCCTCAGCCATGAGGGATGCACTCTTCATATATGGTAGTAATATGAGTCTGCTTAAACCTTTCCCTAATACCATTAGCCAAAGCACTCTGGGTGATTATCTGGCTAGGCAATCCCTTGAAATAAAAATCTTTGGGTAAGGAAGTATCTTTGTCACCAATTTAAGAAAAGTTTAAACAATCTCCCAATTTAAGATGCATTACACTTGAAAGAAAAAGTCCCATTGCATGTTTTATATGCCTTTCTTTCGTTACCATGTTACCTTGGTTAGAGTCCCCTGGATCTTCTATATGATCAAAGACACTCCTGAGATAAATTTGCTTCTGCTGTTCTAGATCTGATTGTGAAAACGTCGAAACATTAGTCCTTGAATAAAGCAAACCAGGAGGAAAAACAGTCCATTAGAACCATGAATATACTGCTCTGTAAAGAAAAGTCACATACTGCTAACTGTTAGAACAACCAAATTTCCAGAGGCAAAATTCTCTTTTAAGATCTAGTGACAGAAGACAGCATTAGTCATATAATATGAAGCAGAAATCGGGTATGAAACAAAGAGTAAAATGAAAAGAAGAAATAGATACAACCTCCTAATAAGGGATAGGAAGGTAAAGATTACCTAGTCCCTAGAGAAAGAAAGCTTTTGTTGAATAATTCAAGGTTAGTCAGGAAATAGCTAACTTCATAGAACCACAGAAAAGTTGAATGAGATAAAGACTGAACAGAACAAGCTAAATCTGGCAAGTAGGGCAATGGTGACCACAGCAAGAGCAATTTCTGGCCCTTGCTCATACTGATTGCACTGTATTAAAGCCAGTGGATAAAAAAGTCAGTAGATAAGATTATAAATTTATTACTGTTCCAAGTAATGTGATTTGTGTTCCTTTGGTATAATTTCCATTGTAAGCAAATCATAAGATTTCCCTCAATTATGCAAACAAAACAGAAAACTAGGATTGGGGAGGCAGTCAAAGGGGACTATTATTTGTAATATTTAAAAATTTTAATGCAGAATAAATATAATATATAATCAATGTGTGAAAAAAATTTTTTTTTAATTTTCACCATAAGAAAAGTCAACCTGATTTCAACAAAAAAAAAAAAAAAAAAAAAAAAAAATTTTCTAGTACATTTAATGAAAAGGCCCATGTACAGACACTGCCATCTCCTGGCAATAAGAAAATCAACTGAAAAGGCGACCCAAATATCTGCAACCCCTGACTAGAATTTTTCTCCAAGGACCTATGTACAAGTTGGCAGAGCTGACTGAGGAATTTTCTACATATTTACATGTTAACATTTTTGTTACTCTCTATGCTCCTATCATACATGTTACCAGGCTTCTACACAAGAGATCTTGCATTTACATTTACTTCTGTTTTTTAACCTTAAAAATAACCCTATGAGGTAGCAGAGAAGGTATCATGTTTTATTTTAACTGACATAAAAAAACCAAGATGAGAGATTATTTGACTTGCTCAGGATCACACAATCRACAGTACCAGAACTTCCAGTTTGCTTACTCCCATGTAAGGTCTTCTCCCATAATAAGGATATTGGGAAGGGGAAAAAAAATAAAAAAGAACCAACAGAAACCAGAATATTTACACTGTTACATTACCTGGTTTTGGTTTGTAGAACAGGAATGACTTTGCCCAGTCTTCTTTCACGGACTTTCATTTCCCCAGAATCCTTGTCAAGAATATCCTGGTTTTTTTTTGTTTGTTTTTTTCAGAGCAGAAGGAATGCAAAAGGAAGACAGTTTTCAGTTATAAGTTCTTTTTCTTCATTTAAGTTTCAGCTATAACATATAACTGAAAATAACACTTTATGGAAATATTTTTTAATTAAAGGTTAGAACTGAATAGCCTTGAACACTACTGTATAACACACACTATAGTAGCGCTTTAAATGAAACAGCAACTATAATCTTAAAAATAAATAAACAAATCATATGAGGTAGGAATTATTATATATTATCCATTTGGCAGAAAGAAAATCAGTTAGGAAAATTGTCCAAAACCTTTTTTTTTTTTTTTTCAGTTCTTCAGTGGCTGACTCAGCACTGGTACTATACTGAATAAGGATAGCAACCAAAGATTGAGACTTATAAAATAATCATCATCTTAGCAATAATAATTAGTAATTTGAAATGATGTGCTAGGTACTATAAATACATCATTTCACTAATCCTCTCTCTACCTAAAAAATATTATTTGTGCAAGCATGGTGGTGTACTCCTGTAATTCTAGTGGCTCCAGAGGCTGAGGCAGGAGGATTACAAATTCAAAGACAGTCTCAGCAGTTTAGCAAGGTCCTAAGCAACTTAGGAAGACCCCATCTCAAAAAAAAAAAAAAAATTAAAAGGCTAGGGATGTGGCTCAGTGGTTAAGCGTTCCTGAGTTCAATCCCTGGTACCAGAAAAATAAATATTATTTACTCAAATTTACAGATAAAGGTGGGGGAGGGGTTAGTGGTACAGCATAAGCACAAGGCCCTGGATTTCACTCCAGCACCAAAAAATAAATAAAACAAAAGGAAAAAAAAGAAAGAAAAAAAAATAGGGAAACTAGCCTAGAGTCACAGGGCTAGTCAGGATTTAAATCCCCATTTGTCTAAACACAAAGCTGGGCTAGATTATAACAAATGCACCACTGTGGTATATAATGACCATTATAGGGGAGGCTGTACATGTATGTGGACAGGGATATAAGGGAGCTCTTCTGTATAGCTCCTAAATGAAAATAATTTTTTTTTTTACCTTGAAAAAATGTACTTACTCTGTTTGATGAACTGGAAACAACAGGAAACCTCATTTCACAACTTGATTTATGTGAGCCACCATTTTTCCAGGACGACCCCGTATTTGGAGTCTCTGAATGCTCTGAGATCTGAGAGAACACAGGTGTAGATTTCTTACTGTCAGGTGTATTTTTATCAGAGACAGTTTGTTGAAAGTTATTGTTCAAAGGAGAAGAGAACAGGGACCCATCCCAAGCAGAATTATTGGGGCTGATCTCTTCAGATTCAGTGCAAAGTTCACTCTCATTAGGGTTAAGACCATCTTCTCTCATCCCTTCCTCAAGGGAAGAGGGTTTTTCAGTATCTTTGGATGAATCAATCTTGTCCTTATCAAGCACAGGATCACAAACTGATGGATTAAATGGTGCAACAACAGTTACTTTTATAAGATTCTTTTCTAGTACAAATCGTCTGTTTAACGGTTTAGTAGGAATTGGTCCATGACCAACTGATGTACTTAGCTGAGGTAGTTTGAAGAGGCCAGGAGTCTCAGCTACTGGTCTCAAGTTGTACAATGAATTTTTTTCTTGGGGAGTTTCAAGTAGAACTTGACTCCCTTTCCCTCCATTTTCAACATGCCTGCCATCATCTTTACACAATCTTTCTTCCAAAGAAAAGTGCTCATCTGATGGGTCATCATCCTTCAAAAGCTCATCAATCTCTTCCTCAGTGTAATTGAAATTGTCATCATCTTCTTCTCCATCAGACAGCTCCAGCAAGGAATCATCCAATTCATCCTCATCCAAGGAACCCCAAGAAAATGGGGCAGTGTCTTTAGGCAAGAAAGAGGTGCCAGAAGACTGTTCTGAAGGTACTAGTGAGCACGTCATATCTGGAAAAATAAAAGTAAGTCTCACTAAGGAATAGGAAATTCTTCAAGCCAACTTTAACCCACTATACATCAGAGTGGCATCCTAATATTTCAATTTCTTTGCCCTGAGACTTATAACAAGATAACTAATTTTAAGATATTTAACCTTACCAGAATTGTGGAAATACATATTAGAATAATTTTTCTTATCAAATGGTAAAAATAAAGAACAGGATACTCTGGATTGATGAAGATGTGAAGAAACAAGCACTCACACACTATCACCAAGGGTATAAATTAGCACAATAATTTGTGAAGAGTAATTTGGTAATACCATTTGACCGAGCAATTTCACTTCTGGACATTTATTTTACAGAAGCACCTATTACAAATGCACATGAAAACATATACAAGGCTATTCAAAGTAGTGTTTTTCAAAGTAGCCAAGTTTGGAGGTAACTTTAATGTCCATCAACAGAAACATTCAGTAAAACCATGGGCATTCACACTAGAATATTTTTCAACTATTTAAAGACACATGAAGTAAACCATTATGTATTATCATGGAAAGATATCTATAAAATACAAACAATACATATATATATATACACACACACACACACACACACACACACACATACATATAAGATGTTTGAACATTCAATTTATACTTTTAAAAAAAGTATTACTCTTAAAATTTAAAAAAAGGGAGAGGGGACATAATTAGATAAATAACTGTCTTCCATACTGTGTGGAGCTGCTGGAGCAATCTCTGCCTCTGCCACGAGACCAAATGGAAAAAGGTTTCAGCTCCTGCTAGCTGTTCCTTTCAGGAGACTTGTCAAAATGATTGACTCCCACCTTCCTGCAGGCACAAAGAAAATTAAAGGATCTTCTCATCACTTTCAACTCTGCTAATTACGAAGTCAACTGTATTATGCTTCAAGGTGTTCCATCTATTAATTTTGATCTTGATTTTTTTAAATACCACAAAGTTGAATTTTTTTTTGAGTCAAGAACATCAAAGAAAAACCTTTAGAGAAAAAAATTATGCAACTAAGAACTAGTTTTGTTCCTCCCAACAATTTGCACTTTCTTAAGACTATGATTTGCTTTAGTAGGATGAATACTGGCTTGGGAATCCAAAGACCTGGATTATAGTACTGGTCCTGTCATTAACCAGATCCAACCAATTAGCCATTTTACCATTTTGATTATAAAATGGGAAGGGATGGAGAAAGGGGTATGGGGCAATGTCTAAGAGTCCACCAAACTCTAATATATTAATCACAACCCCCAAAAAACTAATAAACTAATTTTCATTATATATAAAATACAAAGAAAAGATCTGCAAACACAAAATCAATGACTATTATAACCTGCAGAGAGACAGAGGTAAGTTAAGTGAAGTCTTCTGTCTGTATCATTTTTACAATTCTACTTGAATATTTATTTGTATAATTAAAACCTAGTTTACAAACAGCTCACGATAGACTTAATCTGTAATTGTCCAGGTTGGAAAGGTGACTAAAACGCTGGTATTTTAAGAAGAAATGCTCAACACTGAACTCAATAATTAGAAATTCCTTGTAGCTTTTTTTTGGGGGGTGGGGGGCAGTACTGGGGATTGCACTCAGGGCACTCAACCACTGAGCCATATCCCCAGCCCTATTTTGTAGTTTATTTAGAGACAGGGTCTCATTTAGTTGCTTAGCGCCTTGCTTTTGCTAAGACTGGCTTTGAAATCATGATCCTCCTGCCTCAGCCTCTCGAGCCACTGGGATTACAGGTGTGCACCACCAGGCAGGCCCTTACAGCTTTTTAACTATAAAGTTTCCTCTATTCCACTACCCTCCCTAACCACACCTTGAGTTTTAGCTTCAGTTCATACATTGTTTCAGAAAACATTGTCTGAGCTTCAGTCATCACATAGCACTGAGTTACATGGTATATCTTTATGTGATTTCCAAGAAATAAATTATGGTTCCCACCCTCCAGGAATTTATATAATCTATGCTACAGAGACAGCACTAAAAATTAAGTACCATTATGAGACTACAAAATGGTATGAACAATAAAGTACTAGAAAGAGGTAGTATTTAAACTTAGAGCCACTTATACTTTTTATTTTACCAATATCGCAGCATTTGTGGATAGGTGGGGAGTAGCTCAATGGTAGAGCTCACAGTTACTAGGCCCTGGGTTCAATCCCTAGCACCAAACAAAACAAAAGCAAAAACAAAACCCAACAATTATTGTGACAAGAGTTCCAGGCACTAATCCCCCCAAAACCAAAGGYCAAATATTCTCTCTGATACGCAGATGCTAACACACAATAAGGAAGGGGGAATAGAAGTTCCCTGGATTAGACAAAAGGGGGGGGGTATGGGAATAGGGAAGACAGAATGAGTTGGACATACTTTTTCTAGGTTCATATATGAATACATTACCAGTGTAACTCCACATTATGTACAACCACAAGAATGGGAAGTTATATTTCATGTACCTATGTCAAAATACCTTCTACTGTCATGTATAACTAAAAAGAAAAAATAAGAGTTCCAGGCATTTAAAACAGGTACCTCTATGAAGAAAAAAGTTAATTTCTTGACCTAGTAACTTATTTTATAAAGTAATTTATTTTGGCAGCACTATGAAAAGTTTATTTTTAGAAAAATTTTAAAGAAACTTCATGATTAGCAATAAAAAGCATAATACACACTAGAATAACCAAGGGAACTATAATTTATTTGTCCTTGTTCAGTGTTAAATTTTGTTGAAAATTAACTTTCTTTTTTTTTTAAATTTTAAATTGTTGATAGATCTTTATTCTATTTATTTATTTATATGTGGTGCTGAGAATTGAACCCAGTGCCTCACACATGCCAGGTGAGTGCGCTACTGCTGAGCCTCAGCCCCAGCCCCCAAAATTAACTTTCTAAATTGAAAAACTGAATAAACTTTTTAACTGCAATACAAAGAAACATATTGTAAAAGAAACAATCAGAACATAAGAGCATTGCATTAAGAGTTTTTTTTTGTTTTGTTTGGCACTGTAGATCGAWCTCAGGAGCACTTTACCAATGAGCTACATCCCGAAACCTTTTCATTTTATTTATTTATTTTTATTTTTTGAGGTATGGTCTAAATTGCTGAGGTTCTCACCAAATTGCTGAGGCTAGCCCAACTTGCCATCCTCCAGCTTCAGCCTCCCAACTGCTGGGATTATAGGCAYGTGCCACTGCACCCAGCTATTAAGTAATTTAAAAACAAGTTTCCTGAATGTATGGGGGAGTAAAGGAACAAGTTTTAATAAACAACTCTTAAGTAATATAACAACAACAAMAAAAAAACAACTTTGTGATTGTCAAGCACAAATATTACTGGGATTAAGTAGCTACATTTCTTAGAAGCCCTTTCTGAGTCACTCATCTCAACCCCCCCAAAAAGTCTACTCCAAGTGCTTGCTTGGCAAAGTGGAGTGTTCCATAGATTTTCACTCTTGGAAATGAAAGTTCAGAGGCATTAAGTAATTTAACCAACTATGCATTGTCAATAAAGCTAGAACATGGATCTAACTAAGGTCTAATTCCACAGGCAATGTTTTTTTCTACCACTTCGTGATAAGACTTGCCAAGGATCTATCAGCAAATAGCAGAGCTAGAATCCAAACTCAGATCTTCTAAATTCAATAGACTTTTTATCCTCCTGCCTTAGTCTCCTGAGCCATTGAGATTACAGGTATACGCCACCACGCATAGCTAAATTCAGTAAACTCTCTAATAAAACTATGGAATATGTGAAAACTGAAGAGGGCTTTTGGCTTTCTAAAAAAAATAAGATGCCTTATCAGATGAAATGGAAAAACAAGACACTGCCAAACATCACTGCCAAGTACTGTAATTATCAGTTCCTATGTCACACAACATCCAAAGGCACAGAGCTGGCTCTTCAGAACTTTTCACAGAATGTTACAAACAGCAAAACAATGCAAAACAATGCCATATATACACATGAAGAGATTTTTTTTTTCTTCTTTGTGGTACTAAGGATTGAACACTGGGGTGCTCTGCCACTGAGCTACATCCTTATCCTCACCTCACCTTTTTAAAAAATGTTTTAAGTTTTTAGTAGTTACTTCCATAGTAGTACCCATCCCTTTTTGTTTTTGAGACAGGGTCTCTAAGTTTTGAGTCTGGCCTCAAAGTTGCAATCCTCCTGCCTCAGCCTCCAGAGCAGCTGGGATTATAGGTGTGCACCAACATGAGAGATAATTTTTAACTTGCACAAATCATTCTCTTCAAAATTTTATTTGTTCATTTACCAAAATTATTATTATTACTGAAAATTTAAAACATATATACAAGTAACATAATGAACTCCCACATATCCATCACGGTCCCAGTAGTTATTAACCAAAGGTAATCATGTCCTATCTACTTCCCCCTTTACCAGATTACTGAATTAAATCCCAGGCATCACATCATTCCATCTATAAACAAGAAGTCCTTATAAAATATCTGGTTCAAATTTCCAATTATCCTCGTCATATTTTTCTAAAATTGGTGGGGGGGGTGGGAGGAAGCTGGGCACGGTAGCACATGCCAAATAATCCAAGCAGCTCTGGAGGTAGGAGGATCTCAAGTTCAAAGCCAGCCTCAGCAACTTAGTGAGGCCCTATCTCTAAAACATAAAAAAGGGCTGGGGATAGGGTTCAGTGGCTAAGCACCTCTGAGTTCAATCTCTGATACAAAACAAACATCAGCATCCAAATAAGGTCTACACAATGCAACTGACCGAGTATTTTAATTTATAGATTCCCCTTCTTTTTCTCCCTTCAATTTATTTGCTAAAGAAATACTACATGTGCATGAATGCATACACGTATCAAAAAATTATAAAAATATGGATGGGAATAAGAAACACCAAATTCAGCATAGTGTTTATCTCTGGTGGTGGGGAAGGAGGAGGAAAGGCAAGGTGAGATGAGCAGCTTCAGTTYTATCACTAATGCTTCGCTTTTAAAAAGAGAATTAAAAAGCCAGGCACAGTGATATATACCTATAGTCCCAACTACTAGCGAGGATAAGGCAGGAGGATTGCAAGTTCAAAGCCAACTTGGGCAACCTGGCAAGACCCTGTCTCAAATTAAAAATTAAAAAGGGCTGGAGATGTAGTTTGGTGGTAGAGTTTCTATGGGTTCAATCTCCAGTACAACAAAGGGGGAAAAAAAACCAAAAACCCAGTAACAAGGGCTGAGGATGTGGCTCAGTGGTAAAGTGCTTGCTTAACAGACAGGCCTAGGCTTGATCCCTAGCATCAAAAAACAATAACAAGAGCCTGGCCCACACACACCTGTAATCCCAGTGGCTAAGAAGACTGAGGCAGGAGGATTTTAAGTTCAACGCCAGCCTCAGCAAAAGTGAGGTGCTAAGCAACTCAATGAGATCCTGTCTCCAAAAAAGGTCTGTACATGTGACATAGTGGTCAAATGCCCCGAGTTAAGTCCATGGTACCTCCTTCCCCCAAACAGAAAGACCTGAAACAAATATAGCAATATAAGATATAGCTGGATGGTGAGCATAATGGTATTCATTATTATGTTACTTCCTGTTTTTATATGCTTAAAGTATTTAATTGGGCTGGGGTTGTAGCTCAATGGTAGAGTGCTTGCCTAGCACAGGTGAGGCCCTGGGTTCAATCCTCAGTACCACATAAAGATAAATAAATAAAATAAAGGTATTGTGTCCATCTACAACTATAAAAACAATTTAAAAAAAGTATTTAATTAAAAGCTTTTTAAAAAATATAAAAAAGGGCTGGGGATAGGGCTCAGTGGCTGGGCATGATGGGGCAAGCCTGTAATCCCAGCTATCCAGGAGCATCACAAATCCAAGGGAAACCTAGGTAACTTTGCAAAACCCTGTCTCAGACAAATAAAATTTTAAAAAGGGCTGGGGATATAGCTCAGTGATAGAGCATTTGCTTAGTAAAAGAGGTCCTAGATTTGATCCCCATTACCACAAAAATAAACAAATATTTCACAGTATAAAACCTACCTCAAAGGATTATTGCAAGGATTAGATGAGATGCAAACATAAAGCACTTAGCACACTACAGGCACAATCTAAGAGATAAATAAATGGTGGTTATCATTTCATCCCACCACCATCTCCCTTGAAAAGATTAAAGAAAAGCATAGGAATGGTAAGAAAAAGAGTACTACATTGATAGTGAAAGGGCCTGGGGATAAGTCCCCTAGACCCTGCTGATTTAGAAATTATCAGTATTATCTATTAACCCAGCATTCAAACCATATTACCACTAAAAACCAGACAGAATGGAGATCTGAAATATAAGGCAAGTTCTGCGAATTAATGGTCACTGAAATACATCATATAGGGGTATGGACTAAATATTCAGAGACTTCAGCAACTCTCAATATCTCTGAACCTAAATATAGAGGAACACTTGAAAAAAAGGGATATTCACTGTTAACAAGGATCAACTTCATCCTTGAAGATCAACTGAAGGGATGTTTACAAAAGCACTTTAAAATCTAAAAACCTCATGCCAATGAAAGTTGACTTCAATGAATCTGCAAGGGAGGAAACCYTCAGATAAAACTGGAGCTCTTAAGGTGAAGTTCCACAAGACAGCTTTATACTTCTGCCTGCCATTCTACCACCTTTCTTACTATCTTCCTGGTAACCTCCACTTAAAATATAGGGGCTCCTTTATTTTTTAAAGTAAAGAATATTTTTCCCATTTCCCAAATCTATCTTTTAATTCTGCTCCCCATCCCTGTGTGACCCTATTCTGTCCTTCCACATCTCTCTCACCTGTCCACCCCCTTCTTCACACTTCAGTGTACCACCCCCTCTCTCTGTTCTGTAACCTCCTGGTAGCAACCTCAGAAACTGGTTCCCTATCTATTTTTACCTTACCTCAGAAAACCTATTGCCTTGGAGCACAAAGCCTTCTTCAGGCCACTAAAACTGCAACCAGATGCAACCCCACATCCTCTTTCAAGGCTCTAAAACCAAAACCATTACCAAACTGTGTCTGACAGGCAGGGCCAAAACCAAGAATTATTTCCAAAGAAGAGGACTTCCCATTATTTAGCCTTTGATTTGCAACCTGTACTAAATGCAATACACGTGAAACACAAAGCACAAAAGGCTTTTTTATCACTCATAAAACGGGCCCAATATTTTTTTAAAAATCAAAGAGAACTGAAATTATCTGTAAGAATTCTGCAATTCTCTTTGAGATAACTAGAAACACTGTAGAATGGACAAACCACCCAGGGCTGGAAACTTCTGCTTCAGGTAACATTTCACTACATCAGGATGCCAAGACTCTCCTCCAAAATGGGCATAGAAAGCAGGGACTACTAACTGTAGCAACGGGTTTCTATTTAAGAAGAAAAATGTTTTTTAAAACAATTTTTAAACAGGTGTGCTAAATACACAAAAACAATGCAGATCAGTTTAGGGAAGCTAGCAGGCAACTCAGTGATTTCTTGGTCCTCTCCAGAGCTCACTCTGCAATGCCAACTGCTTTCCCTCTACCTATTCATTGAAGACCAGGAGGAAGAATGGCACAAGTCTACCTTTCCGAGGATACAGCCTGGCCTCCCCCCGCCGCCCCCGGCTCTCCAGAAATCTCATCGGCCGCGAGGCGGCGCCGCGCTACCGGTTGGTCTTTTACGCTTCCCTCTCCCCTCTCCCCTCCCCAGAGGAGTCGAAGAATTCCCGCCTCCCCGTGGAAGGAGGGAGAAACGCGGGCTTTCTCCCCGCCCTTCCCCCAGCAGGGGCAAAATCAGCCCCTCCGCAGGCCGGGGCGGTGCACCCTCACTCCCTAGGGACCACCGCCCATAGCCACACCTCGGCTGACCTCAGTTCCCTCTCCCGGWGGGGTGGGTAATCCTCTTCCTCCCGCACCCGCCCCGCGCCTCCGAAAGTCCGCGATCCTCWATCTCCCGAGTAACACCCTCCCGCCGGGCGGGCAAGGGGCAGAGGCATCCCCCACCCACCTCCACGCCACTGCCCCCTCCCCCACCGGGCAGGGACAGCGGCCATCGCTCATGCCTCTCAGCTGACCAGAAAGCCTCCCTTTTCCTCAGCAGGGTGAGGGGCGTCGCTCGCCCACCAACGTGGAGGTGGGGGGCAGGGATATTCTCCCGCCACCACCTCAGGAGCGAGAACTAGCCCTTCTCCCAGCAGAGCGAGGGCCTCCCTGTCCTTCAAGGGGGCGGGCAGTGTGCGCGACCCCTGGAGAAGCAACAGGCGCCCCCAACCCCCGCCCAGCCGACGAACGGCCGACCCTTCGTCCCTCCCGCTCTTCACCTCCGGAAGCCGGGCCAAAGCCTGGGCGAACGACTGCGCCTCACTCCGCCCCCTGCGCCATTTTATCGCCCCCTCCCCGACCTCCCCCACCCCGAGGCTGCCTGGCCAACGCCAGGGGGAGGGCAAATAAGCAGTGATTGGCAAGAAACCGCCCCGCCTCTGAGAGGGTTGCACCCCGCGCAAACGCCGCAATCCCGCCCTCCGTACCTCCTACCCTCCCTGCTGGCTCCGCCCCTTCCCGTTTCATCGACTCACTCGACTCTCCTTTGCTCCAGACTCTCCCGGATAAGGCTAGGCGGAGAAGGGGCCAGGCAGAGAAAGCCGAGCGACGAGCTCAGCTGATGCAACCTGGCGGGACTCTCGTGACAGTTCCCGGCACGCGGCCGCGGAAGCGACGAAGGAAAAGACGCGGGTGCCTGCCGAGCGCGGGAAGCAGGGGTGACGGAGCCATGGGGGACGCTCCAAGTCCTGAAGAAAAGCTGCATCTGATCACCCGGAACCTGCAGGTCAGGCCTCGGGGTTGGAATGCGCAGTCCTGGGTCCAGTTATCCTGAGCCCCACTGTAGGGTAGGCTAGTAACTGTGTGGGGCAGGGAATCTCCGCACCGCTGCAACCCTGAGTAGCTACAGCCCTCGCTAATGATCGGTCCGGCAGTCAAGCAGCCATTCTCTGGATGCCACTGAAATCGCCGTGGATTCATCTCTTGGGTGTTGGAGCTGGGCTTTGAATCCTAGATTCCCATCGCACCCACGCTATTATGTGCCAGGCGTGGTGCTACGAGCCAGGAATATGTTAGGGCACTGCCCTCCAGAGCTGGCCTGGAGAGATCGGACCTTAATGACCCATAACCTAAACCATTACAGTTTGGAGTACTGAAAGCACTGGGTTATTACACTAAGAAAAGGGAAGGCTTCCACGAGAAAGTGATCTTTAAACTCCCCCTGAAGGAGTGGRTCACTCCTTAATTCCACAAATGTTCCTACTTTCACCAGGAACTCTAGGGATAGGACTTAAACAGAAGAATGGAAAAATGGGGAGAAAAGCATTTCAGATGGAAGAGTATTGTCAAGATCCGGAAGAGGGGCCGGGGTTGTGGCTCAGCAGTAGTGCGCTCTCCTAGCACATGTGAGGTCCAGGGTTCAATCCTCAGCACCACATAAAAATAAGTAAATAAAATAAAGGTATTGTGTCCAACTGCAACTAAAAAATAAATATTAAAAAATGTTTAAAAAAAAAAGATCCAGAGGAGAGAAAGAACCTTGTGGTTCAGAGAGAAAACTAATTTGGCTGAAGTGAACAAAGTGCTGCTCAGAACACTTAATATTTATGGCATTCATTTTCTTGCCTTCCTTCAGGCCTCTGACTGTTGTCACCTTATTAGAAAAGCCTTTCTTTGCGGGGCAGGGTATTTGGAATTGAACCCAAGGCCTTGGGCTTGCCAGGCAAGTGAATTACCACTGAGTTACACCCCTAACCCTTTTTAAATTTTACTTTGAGACAGGGTCTTGCTAAATTGCYCAGGCTGGTCTTGAACTTGTGATCATCCTGCCTCAGCATCTGGAGTGTCTGGGCCACCTGCCCCAGCTAGGAAGGCCTTTTTTGAGCACTTAATTGAAATAATAATTTCCTTGCCACCAGAACTGTCTCCCCTATCTGCAGATTTTCAATTATTATTCCTAGATAGCACTTATCACCATCTGATATACATTTTATGTTTATTTATTTAGGAGAAGTAGGCAGGTACCAATTCATGAGGGTCTTGTAAGCTTTATTCTGCAAGCCCAGTTTAAAACTGGGCTTTGGGRTGAGGCTGTAGCTCAGTAGTAGAGTGCTTGCCTTGTACATAGGGTTCAATCCCCAGCACCATAAAAAAAAAAAAAATTTTCCTGGTCACTAAGTGCAGTGGTATATCATAGCTTGTTTTTTTCTTTTTAATCCTTTTTATGATACAATTCAAATACTATAAAAGTTGCCCCTTTACAGTGTACAATTCAGTGCATTTTTGTTGTGTACCATGACCACTATCTAATTGCAGAACATTTTCATATTCCCACTAGGGAATATGAAAACTTGTACCATTGGGAGCTGGGGTGGTGGCTCAGTGGTGGTGTGCTTGTCTAGCATGTGTGAGGCACTGGGTTTGATTCTCAGGACCACATATAAATAAACAAAGGTCCATTGAAAACTAAAAACTATTTAAAAAAAAAACTTGTACCAATAGCAATCACCACTATCATCCCTCCCTCCAGCTCTAAAGGAAACACTGATCTACTTTCTGTTCCTACGTATTTGTATATTCTGGACATTTCTTTTAACTGAAATTTGTGCTTCTTTCATTTAGCATAGGTTTGTCCAAGTTGTTATATCTATCAGAACTTCACTCCTTTTATTACTGAATTTACACTGTATGGACATACCAGATTGTGTTTAGCCATTCATCAGTTGATAGGCATTTGGATTGTTTTGTGCACAACTTGAACTTGACTCAAGATTTTTGCATGCTTCCCCTTGCCAAATCCTATGTTTCTTAACCTCTCTTCATAAAAGAGTGCTTGTTAGGGACATAAGATACATAAAGCCTATGGAATTGACTCTCTCAGGTTGTACAGGCCAATTGAAACCTTTCCTTGGGTGATGAGAATCCTCCAAGTGTCTAGATAGTCAGGAGCTCCGGAGGATGCAGGATCAGCTGCCAACTGACAGCTTGGAGCACAGGATTTTAACAGTTCCTAGTAATAGATGATTTAAACTAGCAAAACAGTTTTTGTCTCTTACAGTCGTGTTTCTCCCCTGCCCCCATACTGGGGATTAAGCCCAGTGGTGCTTTACCACTGGCTACATCCCCAGCCCTTTTTATTTCTCATTTTGGGACAGGGTCTTGATGAATTGCAGAAGCTGTCCTGAAACTTGCAGTCCTCCTGCCTCAGCCTCCCAAGTCACTGGGATTACAGGCAATTACAGGCCACCACACCCAGCAGTCTGTCATGGTTTCTGACAGTCTCCCCAAACCTTCCCTTGAGAAACACTGAAAACTCTTTAATCTGGGGCGTACTGGCATATTAGGATTTTACCAGTATTGTTTAGGGCAAAAGAAAATCAAGGTTTTAAACAAAGCTAAGCATAGTGGCAGGCAACTGTAGTCTTAACTACTTGGGAGGTTTGGGAGTTGTTAGCTCATGAGTAGTAATTGAAACAACTAAAGGGGATAAACTAGGGGGACTGTAGAGTAAGAAAGAAAAGTCTAGAGCCTCAAGGATTGTTAGTATTTAATGATTAGGAAGAAGAGGATCATCCAGAAAAGATGGAAACTAAGAAAATAAAATAAAATAAGGAAGTCAAAAGTATAAAGTGTTGCAGGGAGGGAGTGGAGACTGAAAAGTATTCATTGAAGTTAAGAGACCTGGAGGGGGCTAGGGWGTGKCTCAGAGGTAGAGCGTTTGCCTAGCATGAGTGAAGCACTGGGTTCGATCCTCAGCAYCACATAAAAATAAAAAAATAAAGGTATTGTGTCCACCTACAATTAAAAAGTAAATGTTTTAAAAAATAAAAAAGAGACCTGGAGGTCCTCTGTGATCTTTGCAAGAGTATGTGTAATACAGTATGAAACTTGCACGGGAATGGGAGATGAAGAAGGGGAGACCAAAAGAGAACTACTTTAAGAAGTTGGCTATGAAAGGAAGGAGAGTGAGTTAGAAGTAGCTGGAGGGGCTGGAGATGTGGCTCAGCGGTAGCGCGCTCGCCTGGCATGCGTGCGGCCCGGGTTCGATCCCCAGCACCACATACCAACAAAGATGTTGTGTCCGCCGAGAACTAAAAAATAAAATATTAAAAATTCTCTCTCTCTCTCTCTCTCTCTCTCTCTCTCTCTCTCTCTTTAAAAAAAAAAAAAAAAAAAAAGAAGTAGCTGGAGGGGGAGATGTAGAGACATGCTCCCACCCCCTTGTATCAATGTTATTTCATAGGAGAGCCACTAATAACAGAACCTGCTTAGGGTGGTTCTCAGCTGGGCCTCCCGGGACACGTCTTTGCTTTCCTTGTCTCAGAAAACGATGAGCAAGGCCGAGCACCAGCATTAAATCAGTTCTTTCTTGCTTCCACAACAGGAGGTTCTGGGGGAAGAGAAGCTGAAGGAGATACTGAAGGAGCGAGAACTTAAAGTTTACTGGGGAACAGCAACGACAGGCAAGCCACATGTAGCTTATTTTGTGCCCATGTCGAAGATTGCTGACTTCTTAAAGGCAGGATGTGAGGTAAGAATCCATGGTATCAGCTAAGTAGTTTCCTTCAGGGAATGATAAAAAGAGATTAACAAGAATGAGGGAGGGGAAGGTGGGGGGAGATGGTTTGGAGATAATGGACAAAAATCACATTTTGGTGATCCTTATGCTTTATGGCTAGGTAACAATTCTGTTTGCGGACCTTCACGCATACCTGGATAACATGAAAGCCCCATGGGAACTTCTAGAACTCCGAACTGGTTACTATGAGAATGTGATCAAGGCAATGCTGGAGAGCATTGGCGTGCCCTTGGAGAAGCTCAAGTTTGTCAAAGGCACTGATTACCAACTCAGCAAGTAAGTGCTTAATTACTCATGCTCCTCCTGGCTCTGGTGCTTCTAGCTAATTACAGACCTGTGGAGTCTAGGCATTCTGTAAGTTTGGATTAGAAGCTATATGGCAGTACCTGTTAAGAACCATTAAAAAAAAAAAAGGTCGGGCTAGGGATGTGGCTCAAGTGGTAACACGCTCACCTGGCATGCGTGAGGTGCTGGGTTCGATCCTCAGCACCATATAAAAATAAAATAAAGATGTTGTGTCCGCCGAAAACTGAAAAAATGAATATTAAAAAATTCTCTCTCTCTCTTTAAAAAACAAACAAAAAAATGTGTGTTCTTTGTCCTCTTAATTCATCCATCAAAAATGAGCCAACTAGCTGTGCATGCCTGTGATCCTAGCGGCTTGGGAGGCTAAGACAGAGGGATCTTGAATTCAAAGCCAGCCTCAGCAACATCAGGGCGCTAAGCAACTCAGTGAGATCCTGTCTCTAAATAAGCTACAAAATAAGGCTGGGGATGTGGCTCAGGGGTTGAGTGCCCTGAGTTCAATCCCCAGTACAACATAGTGAGACCCTATCTCAAAATATTTAAAAAGTAGGTGATGGTRAGCTAGGGTTGTAGCCCATTAGTAAAGCACCCTTGTGTTCAATCCCCCTGTAAAATAAATAAACGAATGAATAAATAAATAACCTGGGTTCAGCCCTCYCCGCAATAAAACAAATAAATAAGAGAAAGAAAGGAAGAATGAACCAACAAACCAGTAAATACCTGGGTACTGTTCTCCTTGCTGGAGATACAAATGTAACATAACAAAGTTGCAGAACTTACAGCGTGTGGGAGAGGGATAGTAAGTGATCATCCTCCCTTTCTCATCCAGCCTCAGCAAATAATGATAAAAAGCAATGTGAAAGAGATTGCACACATTTCTCACCTCCCCAACCATTCTTATTGCTTGTTTGTCAATTATATTCATATTTGGGCTGGGGTTGTGGCTCAGTGATAGAGCGCTTGCCTAGCATGTGTAAGGTACTGGGTTCAATTCTTACCACCACATAAAAAAATAAATAAAGATATTGTGTCCATCTACAGCTAAAATATTTTTTTAATTATATTTGTGATATTAGCATATATATAATTTTGTATGTTTTTTGTTTGTTTTCTGGGGATTGAACTGAGTGAGGGTCTCACACATGCTAGGCAAGCACTCTACCACTGAGCTACGTCTCCAGCCCCCTAATTTAAATTGTCTAAGACCTCTAAAATAAGTCTTTATAGTCTACATAGCATAGGTCACTCTGCTAGGCATATTTGCATTGAAACTCTCAAAACAACCTTTTAAGGTAAGCATACTATTACTATTATCAGTGAAATAAATTCAGATTTAACTTTCCCAAGTTTACACACATAATAAGTAAATGAGTTAGGATGTGAACCCAGATCTTTTGCTTACCTGTAATTTATCATTTTTAAATTTACCATTTCTTGCTTACTTGTAATTTACTTGTAAATTATCATTTTACTTCTAATATATAATTTTCTTTATTATTTTCCACTGTTGGACATTTAGAGTTTTGAAAAAAGAATATAARCACCTTCATATAAACAGATCTTTAATCCTCTAGTCTCTGTAGAGTGCCTGAGATTTAATTCTTGTTTTGTTTTTTGTAGTACTGGGGATTGAACTTGGGTCTTACCACTGAAATATACACACACACAAACAGAGAGAGCAAGAGATCAAGTGTGTTTATATATGTGTATATATGTATATAAATTGTGTGTGTTTGTGTAGATGGTGATAGGTGCTAAAAGCAGGCAAAAGGTGGGTAGTTCTTGGACAGTAGGAGTTACTTTCTTTTTAAGTAGAACAGCTAGGAGAAACCACTCTGAAAATATTAGGCAGAAACCTGAAGAAGATAAGGGAACAAATCATAGAAATATGTATTAAGTTCATACCATCTGCCAAACTCTATTCTAGACCCTGGAGTTATAACCATGAATAACACAGCCAAGGTTTTTATTCTCCTAAGACTTAATAAAATTTGGGTATGGGAAGGTAGGATGAATAAATAAGCTATCTTGTTTCAAGTCACTTGATCTTTTTTTATGTACAAAAGTGACTTTAAAGAAAGATGGCTTTGTAGTACACACTTCACACTTCTGTTCCAAGCACAGCAGTGATAGGTGAAAGGACATAGTCCAGTTCAAAAACCAACTAAACATTTCCGTGGGAAGAGAAACAAAACTGAAATGTAAATTGGTGAGTTGGATTGAAGTTACAGGTCTGCCTGTGTTCCATTTCACAAACTAGCATTGTTTATAAGCCCAGCAATGAGGGCAAACCAAGCTTACTGTGTGAACCAGAGAATAGAGTAGGGCTTTTCCCCTTTTTCCATTCCCATACCTACCTTCAAGGAAGGTAGAACCTGGAATAGGAGCATCACTAGCAACTCACCTGGGTCTTTAGGGATTTCCATCAAGTTTCAGGCCTATGGAGACTTGACATACCAAGAATTAAACCAAGCTGCCCACCATTTACGTGTTATGTCCTAATATTACCAAAATGACAAGCTCTAACATATCAAGAAATAGTATCTACTTAAAAAGAAAAGAAATTTATTATAAGACAGATGCAGGAATGAAACATGAATATATAAATATAAAAAGAACCATTTAGGGGCTGGGGTTTGTGGCTCAGTGGTAGACCGCTCACCTCGTGTGTGGGAGGCCCTGGGTTTGATCCTCAGCACCACATAAAATAAATAAATAAAAACAGAGGTATAAAAAAGATTTGTTTAAAAAAAAAAAAAGAACCATTTACAAACCTCAATTTCAGTCTTTAGAGAAAAAAAAAACGAACTTGAAATACACAGGATCAACTGTAGACTTAATTAATGAGTAAATCTGTGAAGTTCACACAGAATGCATCCCAGAGACATGGGCAGAAAAAAAAAACATAGAGTGATTAAGATGCAAATAAGGACTTTCTTTTCTAGCAGTCTTGTAGACCAATTACTATGACCTACCTTTCTGCCAAAAACAACTAAAAATGCCAGACAACCTGGGCGGGGGGTGGGGGGTGCGGCTACCAGGGATTGAACTCAGGGGCACTTGACCACTGAGCAATATCCGCAGCCCTATTTTGTATTTTATTTAGAGATAGTGTCTCACTGAGTTACTTGGTGCCTCGCTGTTGCTAAGGCTGGCTTTGAACTCATGATCCTCCTGCCTCAACCTCCAGAGAACAAGCAAAAGTGAGAATACAAAGAGATACTGTACTTCAGTTGACCATACAGTCAGCCCTTCAGGTCCACAAATTCAGCCAACCTCAGATCCRAAGTAGGCTTTTGTTCTTGTCATTATTGCCTGACTGATAAAATATGACAACTACTTCTGTAGCATTTACATTGTATAGTCATCCCTCAGTGTCTGCAGGTAATTGGTTGTAGAACTTCCCCTGGATACCAAAATCTACAAAAGCATAGATCCTTTATATAAAATGATATATATAACCAAGGCACATCCTCCTGTATACTTTAAATCATTTCTAAACTGATTATAATATCTAATACAAGGAAATGACATATAAATACTTGTTATATGATATTGTTTAGGGAGTGATGACAGAAAAATAAAAGTACATGTTCAATAAAAAAGCAGTATTTTTTTCCAAATATATTTGATTTGCAGTTGATCAAGTACACAGATGTGAGACCCATGGATTTGGAGGGCTGACTGTATTAGATATTATAAGTAATTTACAAATGGCTTAAACTTTATGAGTGAATGTGCAGAGGTTATATGCAGATATTATGCCATTTTATATCAGGGAGGGACTTGAGCATCTGTTCCTTTGGTATCCACAGGAGTCCAGAGACCTGTCCCCTGCAACAGTTACCCAGGAACAAAATAAATATTAACTAATGTATAACATGCCATTGTTTATAAGGTAATCTAAATTGCAAAGGTGTTAAATGTTTTTAAAAAAAAATACCTCTTAGCCAGATGTGGTGGTACACACCTATAATCCCAGTGATTCTGGATGCTGAAGCAGGAGGATTRTAAATTTGAGGACAGCCTCAAGTACGTGAGGCCCTACGCAACTTAGCAAGACCCTGTCTCAAAATTTAAAAAGGGGGCTCAGTGGTTAAGCATTCTTGGGTTCAATCTCATGTGCAAAAAAAAAAAAAAAAAAGTCTTTTAGAATTTCAACTGATAAGTACTCACATCTTGAGAGAGCGCTTATGATCTCAGGACGGGAATACTTAAGACACTCGATAATGCCAGGCAGAGTTACCCATACCTTGTAATGTAAGCAATTTGGGAGGATTACAGGTTGAAGGGCAGCCTCAGCAACTTAGTATGACCCTATCTCAAAATAAAAAATAAAAAGGATTCAAGTGCTTTAGTACCAAAAAGTCAAGTCACAGGCTGGGAAGTGTGGCTCAGTGGTAGAGTGTGCTTTTTGCATGCATGAGGCACTGGGTTCAAAACCAAGCACCAAAAAAAAAAAGAGAGAGAGAGAGAAAGTTAAGCTACAAACTAGGACAAGATATAACACAGATAATATCCAATATTATGTTTCAAATTTACAGTCAGTTGTTTTTAAAAATGTGTCAATCCAGTAGAAAAAGACTTAAGTAGGCATTTATTTCTCAGATGTTAATGATCAATAAGCATATGCAAAGAATAATAACTTCCTTGGATAGTACTCAAAGAAATGTCGATTAAAACTATAGTAAGAAATCATTCCATACTCACCAATTAGCAAAGATTTAAAATAATGATGATATTAAACTGAAATTGATAAAAACCACATGGGAAATAGTTTGGCATTAGCCCACTGAAGTTCAAGATGCAAATTCCCTGTGATAGAGATTCTAGGGCATATATTTAAAACTTCTACATGTATACTGGAATATACAGACAAGGATATTTATAACACATTGTTTAGGGATATAAATGGAAAACTAGAAAGAAACACCAAGTTCAGGATAATGGTTACTCTGAAGAAGGAGGAGGAGGAGAAAGATTCTAAAGGGTGCTCAATATTTTCAGAAGTAATTGTTAGATCTTTTTGCTTAAGTTTGTGTTTTGTTTTGTTTTGTTTGTACCAGGGATTGAACCCAGGGTCACTTAACCACTGAGCCAYATCACCAGCCCTATTTTGTATTTTATTTAGAGACAGGGTCTCAGTGAGTTACTCAGGGCCTTGCTGAATTGCTGAGACTAGTCTTGTGATCCTCCTGCCTCAGCCTCCCAAGCCATTGGGATTTCAGGTGTGCACCACCATGCCCAGCTTTAGAACACTTTGTTTAAACTGGATGTTGTTTATATTGTTCAAAAGGCATGGGAGAAAGAATTCCAGAAGAAAGGTAGAGGGGAATGGCAGAGAAGCAGTATGTCATGGATTATAACAATGTTTTCTGGAGGCAAAGTAAAAATTTAAGCCTTTTTTTCAAAAGGAAAAACAAGCTGGTGTAGTGGCAGAAGCCTGAAATCCCAGTGACTCAGGAGGCTAAGACAGGAGGATCTCAAGTTTGAGGCCAGCCTGGGCAATTTAGTGAGATCCTGCCTCAAAATTAAATAAGAAGGGCTGGGGATATAGCTCAGAGGTCAAGTGCTCCTGAGTTTAATCTCTGGTCCTAGGGAGTGGAAGACAGGAAAAACGTAACAATAAAGTAATGTTTTGGATGAGCAGGCAATCTCTTACATTTTAGAAACTACCCGGTAGAGCTCTCTTCAAAGCTTAAGATTAAGAGAGGGGCTGGGGATGTGGCTCAAGCGGTGGCGCGCTCGCCTGGCATGCGTGCGGCCCAGGTTCGATCCTCAGCACCACATACCAACAAAGATGTTGTGTCCGCCGAGAACTAAAAAAAAAATATAAAAAAAAAATTCTCTCTCTCTCTCTCTCTCTCTCTCTCTCTCTCTCTCTCTCTCTCTCCCTTCACTCTCTCTAAAAAAAAAAAAAAAAAAAAGATTAAGAGAGATATCCTGGGAAACTGAGACCTACGTTCAGTTTTATGATTGTCCCCTCTTTTCCTCTTCAGAGAGTACACATTGGATGTGTACAGACTGTCCTCTGTGGTCACACAGCATGATGCCAAGAAAGCTGGAGCTGAGGTCGTAAAGCAGGTGGAGCATCCTTTGCTGAGTGGTCTGTTGTACCCTGGACTRCAGGTACTTAAGAGAAATAGAGTGGCCCCAGTGATCTTTCTGCTCTCTTTCTTTCTTTTGAAGCTGGGTATTGAACTCATGTCCTTATTTATACATGATAGGCAAGTGCTGTACCTCTCCCAGCTACTTTATGCTCTGTTTCTAATGATGAACACCAACTTCTATCAACATCAGTAAACCAGTGAACTTGCTGTTCCTTCACCAACTTCTAGGACTTCCTTCTTGTCTGTCCCCCTCCCCACATCGCTGGCTTCCTGGAACATTCTTTTACTTCTTCAGTTGTAAGTCCTCTTCCTGTCTGTCCTATAAGACATTGCTTATCTCACACATCATCTTTATCTCTTAATCAGAGCAAAAAAAGTTCAGAGAGATGTGTGAAAATAAATTTTAGACATGATCCTATTTTTCAGTAAAGAAAACAATTACATCACATTTCATGGGTGTTTGTATATCTTTGAGTTAGGAGAAAGATAGAAAAATACACCAAGCAAGCAGATGATACTGTTTATCTCAGGAAGGTGGGATAAAAATTAAAATATACTTAACTATATCTCTGGGAAAAGAAAATGAAGTCTCCTCTTGTCATCTCATACAGTTCTTTGTCAGCATTAAATCTGAAGACATACTATATCAGCCCTATCTAATATGGTAACCTCTAGTCTTAGTTACATGGAGCTATTAAAATTAAGTTAATTAAACTAAAGTTTTATCCAGGTGAGGTGGCATACACCCCTGTAGTCCCAGCTACTCAGGAAGCTGACATAGGAGGGTCACTTGAGTTCAAGAGGTTGAGGGTATCCTGGGCAACACAGTAAGTCCTCGTCACAAAAAAAATAGTTAAAATTTGTTCTTTAGTTACATTGATGTACGCTGTACATTCAGTGGATATTCCTTAAAGAGGAAAGAAGGGATAGCCATAGACTATCCTGGACAATTCTGGAAGCCACATGTGGCTGTTGGCTACTATCAGCTCAGATATGAAACATATTCATCATCCTGAAGGTTCTATTGGACAGTACTGTTTTAGATTGTCCCTGTTTATTCAACCTTCTTTTACTCTCTCTTCCTTTCTATCCTCAGCCTGTCATGCACCAAATTTTATTAGTTCTGCTTCTTAAAAACTCTTAAATTAGGGACTGGAGTTGTGGCTCAGTGACAGAGTGCTCACCTAGTATAGGTGAAGCACTGGGTTTGAGCCTCAGCCCCATATAAAAATAAATAAATTTAAATAAAGTCATTGTGCCCACCTACAACTAAAAAATATCCCCAAAAATAAAAATAAAAACTTAAATTAGCTGGGTGTAATGGCACACACACATGAAATCCCAATGGTTTGGGAGGCTGAGGCAGGAGGATCGTGAGTTCAAAGCCAGCCTCAGCAACTTAGCAAGACCCTGTCTCAAAAAATAAAATGGGGGGCTAGGGATGTGGCTCAAGCGGTAGCGCGCTCGCCTGGCATGCGTGTGGCCCGGGTTCGATCCTCAGCACCACATACCAACAAAGATGTTGTGTCCGCCGAGAACTAAAAAAAAATAAATATTAAAAAATTCTCTCTCTCTCTCTCACTCTCCTCTCTCTTTAAAAAAATAAAATAAATAAATAAATAAAATGGGCTGGGGAAATGGCTCAGTGGTTAAATGCTCCTGGGTTTAATCCCTAGTAACAAAAGAAAAAGAAAGAAACCCTCTTAAGTTCATTCTTGCTACTGGTGTGATCTTTTTACTGATCTGGTCATGTTTTTCTTCACCCTGAAACCATTCAGTGGCCAGTTAGCACTAAGCACGGTAGCATGACACTTCAAGGTCCTTACCTACTTTTCTAACCTCTTCACTCACTATTTCCCACATTCCTTGAAGTGCATTTGCAGACTGAATCATTCACAATTTCCCCTGAAACTTCACACCTATGCCTCCTTGCACATTCTATTTCCTCTTCATGGTAAAAAACATCTTTGTGTTTTTTAAAGCCAAGCTCAGCCCACGTCTGATTCTAGGAAGCTTTCCCCACACCCGTTTGAGAGAGGTGATGGTGCCTTCCTTTGTGTTGGCACTGCTCCCACATGAACATCTAGGCTAGCTCTTAAACGCTGAAGTGGTTGTTTACATGTCTCTCCCCAAGTGGGTAATTGGCCTTCTTGAAAGGAGTCTGGTTCTGATTCTTCTCTGCATTTGCAGAGCTGGCACCAAGCCTATAATATTTTAACAGTCATTGTTCCTTTTTTTCTTAACTTTTTTTTTTTTTACTTATTTATTTATTGTAGTTGTAGATGGACAGCATACCTTTATTTTATTTATTTTTATGCAGTGCTGAGGATTGAACCCAGTGCCTTGTACATGCTAGGCTAGCACGCTGCCACTAAGCTACAGCCCCAGCCCAACTATTCCTTTAATAGTACAGTCTTAAGTATTTTCCAAGCTCTTACAGGATTTTTTTTTGTGTGTGTGTGTGTTCTGGAGATTGAGACCAGGGCCAGGGCCTCTTGTATGCTAAGCACACACTACCACTGAGCTATAAGCCCAGCCCAAGGACTCTTCTTGCCAGGAGAGGCAGTATTGGACTTGAACCCAGGGATGCTCTACTCCTCAGCTACATCCCCAGCCCTTTTTATTTTTATTTTGAGACAGGGTCTTGCTTATTTGCCCAGGCTGGACTCTTTACCATCCTTTCACCTCTCCAGTTTGGGGATTACAGGTACGTACCACCACATGGCTGGACTTTTTTTTTTTTTTTTTTTTTGCTGTAGATGAACACAATACCTTTATTTTTTTTTTTTTATTTTTTATGTGGTGCCTCACACATGCTAGACAAGTGTTCCACCACTAAGTTATAGCCCCAGCCTCTGGCTGGATTTATTTATTTATTTATTTAAATTTTTTTTAGTTGTAGATGGACACAATGTCTTTATGTTATTTATTTTTATGTGGTGCTGAGAATCGAACCCAGTGCCTCATGCGTGCAAGGCAAGCGCCATACCACTGAGCCACAACCCTAGCCCCGGACTTATTTATGCCACTTATTTGACATGTGTCACAGGCTGCCTTATTTAACGAGTTACCTTTGACATGGCTGTGGTTTGCCTTTTCTTCCCTCCCTTTCCACTGGATTAGGAGCATCCTGAGAGCAGAGACTACTCTTTTTATCACATGACATCCACATGGACTTATGTTTTCCTCAAGTGCTTAGCAATTGTTGATGCAGCTCTTGCCCACTGCTGTTCCCCACTCCCAACCCCTGTCCTGGCTCTGCTTTCTGAAAAACCTAGTGATTCTACAGTTTCTGATTTCTCAGACTCATAGGGAAGAAATACCATAAGTATTTATGCTCATTTTTTTCTTTCCCCAGGCTTTGGATGAAGAGTATTTAAAAGTAGATGCTCAATTTGGAGGTGTTGATCAGAGAAAAATTTTCACCTTTGCAGAAAAGGTTAGTGTCCTTTTTCCTATATTTTTTATTTGAGCCTCAGAAGTATACAATTGAAATTAATTGAATTGCCATGTGCCACTCCCACCAGTCATACTCACATTGTATGGTAGATAATATTCTCCKTATTCTGCAGATGAGAACACAATAGAAGAAAACCAAAGCCATTTAGTGTCACACAGTTAGTAACTGAGCTGGCAGTTAGTACCAGTTTCCTAGAAGCCCGTGCTTTTGCTACCCCCAGAAAGCTGCCCAGGACCTATTGAATTTGTTTCCTTCCTAATGCCTCAGTTTCCAGGAAGAGGTACCAGTCACAACTACTGTTCTTTCCCTGAGCATTTGGTCCACACTGCCTTGGGTCTTGTATAAACTGCTCAAGATAAGGTTTAAAAGGATTTAGCAGGAAATCGGCACAAACCCATGATACTTTTTTGTGCAAAAGAATTTGATTAAGTTGAAAAGAACAATTTCAAAGGGGTTGGTATTTTTGAAAGCTTCTCAAAACCTCATATTGGAAAGCATATGGAGAAAACAGTGCTAGTAGAAAATAAATTCTTGGAAGATGATTTGACAACCCTAAAATGTTTTTATCCTTTGACCTAATAATTCTGTTTCTAGAAATGAGAAAAAGTACAGTTTTTGTATAAGAGTAATTAGTACATTTGTCAATTTAAAGCAAAAATTTGGATATAAACATTTCCAGTGACAAGGGATTGGTTAAATAAATACATGATGAAAAATCCTCACGGTGGAGTATTATGCAATATTTAAGTACTGGTTTGGAGTTATATTTAATAAATGAGTAAATGCTTAAAATCTAAATCCTTTGATTAGTCAATTATTTCTTATTTTGTCTGCTCTGTTAACATTTTAGTGGAACCGTTTAGTAATCTCCAAAGATTCAATTCACAGCTTGTTTTTGTATGATTCACAAGCTAAAAATGATATTTACATTTTCAAAGGACAATTTTTAAAAGTTGAAGAATATGCAGTATAGACCATATACAGCCCACAAAGCTGAAAATCCTTATTACCTGGCCATTTTTTACAAAAAAGTTTTGCCTCCCCTGCCCTATAGATCATAACATGTATCCTTGTAACTTATTACAGTTGAAGTTAAATGTTTTCACAAATTCTCAACAGTGCAAGAACCTTCACTTAACCCATTATATTCCATCATCCTATTTATAGGCCACCTATAAATTTGCTCAATTTAACTTTCTGTAGTTACCCTACATATAGGATAATGGAACATAATGGGTTAACTCCCTCCTGCCCTTTGTGCCTTTATTGTCATGATTTTACGTTTTACGTGTATTTTAAATATCAAAGACTTTATATTTTAATGTTTTTATTAGTGCATTATATTATACATAAACCCTTTGATRCCCTGGATTCCTTCCTACAGTCCTTGCTTCTAATGCTTCCATGTGAGTTCATTTTCCTGCATCCTGGAGAGGCCCCTTAGTATTCTGTGCTTATAGTACAGGTCTTTCAGCAATGAAWGAGTTCTTTCAGCTTTCTTTTGTCTGAAAAACACCTTTTAAAAAAAATTTTTGTACCAGGGATTGACCCTCAGGGGCCAGCCACATCCCCAGCCCTATTTTGTATTTTATTTAGAGACAGGGTCTCACCGAGTTGCTTAGTGCCTCCCTTTTGCTAAGGTAGGCTTTGAACTCAAGATCCTCCAGGAGGAGGATTCAAGCTAAAATCTTGGGGTATTCATCTATCCCTCTTTACTTTGATTGAACCTACGCTTCAGCCTATCTTTCAAGTTCTCTGCATCATCTAAATCTTAGCAAGGGTCTCCAGTCTCCCAGAGCCTATTATCTGCCAGGCTTCCTGAAATCTCACCATGTGCATGAGAGCTATTAGTCAGCTAAGAAATCAGTGGGGAATTTTGACCTAAGATTTTTTTCAGGGCATCAGAGTCCTTCTCTCTAGAATCCATCCCAAATCCTAGCTTCCCTACAGCCTGAACTCCAGTACCTGTGTCCTCTGCCTAGACTGTAGCTGCCACCTGGATCTCTTTTTCTCAGCACCTAGCTTGGAAAACGTTCTCAGGTAGAAAGCTGGGTGAACTTCCTTATCTCAAGTCTTATAACCCCACATTGCTTGCTGTCCGATGCCTGCAATTGAAATTTTTATGTATTTCCAGCTGTTACAGTTGTTTATGATAGGAGGATAAATTCAGTAGCCTCATAATGTAATATAATAAAAAAGCACTAGGGGAAAAAAAACTGTTCGCATTGTGATCACTATTGGAAACTCTTAAATATTGAAGAAGGAAAAAAACATTAAAAAAGAATGTAGCAACCTGTTAAGTTTCTGGACAAGTTAGATGAAATCAGGGCACTGAGGAGGAATTTATACTAATATCTGCTTTTGTGTGTTCCTTTCTAATCTCTCAGTACCTCCCTGCACTTGGCTACTCAAAACGGGTTCATCTGATGAATCCAATGGTCCCTGGATTAACTGGGAGTAAAATGAGTTCTTCAGAAGAGGTAAATTTCCAACTTTTGTTTGTTTTGTTTTTTTAGTTGTAGATAGACATAATATCTTTATTTTACTTGTTTGTTTATTATATGATGCTGAGGATCAAATCCAACGCCTCACATGTGCTAGGCAAGTACTCCACCACTGAGCTACAACCCCAGCCCATCAACTATTACTTGAGTCTAGAAATCTTCAACAAGAAATGGAGAGATTGAGGACTCAAAAATCAGTGACCTGGCTGACTAGAGCATTCATATATTTTGCTGTGATAGACCTTCTTGTCCAGTTAGTTCAGTGGTTCTTGAGTATTGAAGGAGAAGCAGTCCTGGTGGGGTCCAATCATAATTTTTTAACAGTTTTTACTGATAAAACCACAAGCAAGTTATTTCTTCATTAATAAAACTGATAAAATTAAGCCTTATTCATGAGAAGGCCTTGATTACGTTACATCAACAAGCATTTTGATTCAAAGAGTTTGATAGAAGTGATATTATATCTCTTAACCTTTAAAAGTCCTACTAGGATAAAGTACACTTTTGTTCTGATCATTTGGTATACAAAATATAGGAATTAATGGAATATAAAGATGTGAAAAGTTGTTCTAGGTTCCCAAATTTGACTGTCCTTTAGAATTCTGATAAATGGGGCTGGGGGTGTGTCTCAAGCGGTAGCGCKCTCGCCTGGCATGCGTCCTGCCCAGGTTCAATCCTCAGCACCACATACAAACAAAGATGTTGTGTCCGCCGAAAACTAAAAAATAATATTAAAAAAAAAAAAGAATTCTGATGAATGGTTCTGGGAGGGACTCGGAATGTTGTTTTTGGTTTTTTGTTTGTTTTTCCTTTAAAATCATTCCAGTTTTTTGTTTGTTTGTTTGAAGTACTGGAGATCAAACCCAAGACTGTACTCCCAGCCAAAGCCTGAGAACTTTTTAAAAATACACATTCCTGACCCAACCTCAAGACACTTTGATTCGTTAGGTTTGGGTGGAGTCCAGTATTTTATATTTTTTATATACTCAGGTGATTCATATACTGTCACATGGGATTTGGGTAACCACTGAATTCAAATTACTATAAACTCATATTCTAAAACAAAAAACAAAACTTATTATTAAAAAAGGAAAAATGGCTATAGATAATACATCATACCCTGTATYTACATCCATTTTATGTGGTCAACAGAATACTTTTTTTAAAAAGTATTTTTTAGTTGTTGATGGACCTTTATTTTATTTGTATTTTTGCGGTGCTGAGAATCAAACCCAATGCCTCACATGTGCTAGGCATGCACTCTTCTGAGTTACAACCCCAGCACAACAGAATACTTTTGAGACAGGGCCATGCTAAGTTGCTAATACTAGACTTGAACTTGGGATTCTCCTACCTCAGCTCCCTTTGTCTGGGATTATAGGCATGCGCCACCACACCTAACTTCCATTAATTAACCCACACGTGGATTAATCCATTAATTTACAAATAAGTTAATTCATTCATGAAGACAAAAGCTCCCATGACCAGTCACCTCCCAAAAGTCCTGCCTTAAATACCATTAACATATGACTTTGAGCGTTAAGTTTCCAACATATGAATTCTGGGAGGCAAATTTTCATACCCTAGCACCTGCTGTTGGTAAGTGCTATGAAATAGGTATCCTCACACATTACTGATATACCTTCAAAAAACAATCTTGAACCTAGCAATTTTAGGTAGTTTAAGAATATAATCCTARAGAAGACAAACAACCTCTGTAAAGATGTTCAATATAGCATTATATATAATTTGTAAAAATTAGGACATAATCATAACAAGTTATGATGCCACTAATAACTGGGAATATAATACAGCATAAAAATTCTAAATAAAGACAAGGTAGCCCCTCAGATATACTTAAGACATTGTCTCATATGAAGAAGCAAGGTAGACATTTCTTCTCTAGGTATAAATATATAACGATTCTGTATGCTATAGACAAAGTCTGGGAAGAACATAGAAAAAAATAGTTTATTCTGTCCAATGTCAAAATTCAAGTGAATACCTTGATTAATTATGCTTTTGTGCTACTTGTTTAATGTTAAAATCTTTTTTTTAATGTTTATTTTTTAAACAAATAAACAAAATATCTTTATTTTGTTTATTTGTTGTTTTATGTGGTGCTGAGGATTGAACCCAGAGCCTCAAACATGCTAGGCAAGCACTCTACTGCTGAGCCACAACCCCAGCCCCATGTTAAAATCTTTATAAAGGGGCTGGGGATTTGGCTCAAGGGGTAGCGCGCTCGCCTGGCATGCGTGCGGCTCGGGTTCGATCCTCAGCACCACATACAAACAAAGATGTTGTGTCCGCCGAGAACTAAAAAATAAATATTAAAATTTTTAAAAAAATCTTTATAAAATTAAAAATAAATAAATAAATATAAGATTAGTTCTCATTTCCAACCACAAGAGGTCCTCTTCTCCTCCATGGTTTGTAGGAATCCAAGATTGATCTCCTTGATCGGAAGGAGGATGTCAAGAAAAAATTGAAGAAAGCCTTCTGTGAACCAGGCAACGTAGAGAACAACGGTGTTCTGTCCTTCATCAAGCACGTGCTCTTCCCCCTCAAGTCAGGTAAGATACTTCTGCTGTGGTTATACTTGTGATTTGTCATAGATTCTTCCTCCAGAGACTGGTTGCCCTGAATTTCTACTCTAATTTCATGTATATATTTGTACTAATGAGGGTAGGATATCATTTAATTATCTAGGGTTCATTACCAGACTAGGTTCTGAGGGGGTATCAGGTTAGGCAGGGGTCTTTGAAATGAGAGTGGAGGCAGACATGCTAAATTAGAGAAATACAAAAGAATTCTAAGTCTTAACCCTTCCCTTTAAGGGCCTGGGATGCTAGCTGGCTACACAATATTGCCATTCATCATTCAGTTGAAGAACAATAGGGGTGGTGGTGTAGCTCAGCRGGAGATCACAGCTTAATGTGTGAGGCCCTAAGATTGATCCTATCACCAAAAAATAAGAAAATAAATGTCATATGATAAAGTTCAAAATACATAACTAYACATACCTATGCATTTGGGCTAGGAATTTTTACTACTATTACTAGTTGAGTTTGTTGATGTAGATCCTTTTTCTTATAGAGTTTGTGATCCTTCGAGATGAGAAATGGGGTGGAAACAAAACCTATACTGCTTACCTGGATCTGGAAAAGGACTTTGCTGATGAGGTAATACTAGAGAAATACTAATCCCCAATAACTCTGACAACCTCTCCCTCTTGGCCTAGCAAGGTTTGTGATTGTGTGCCACAGGCCTCCATCTTTATGCTATCCAGGACTGTATATTTTGTTAATGACTTAGATGAAGATTCAGATGGTTCACAGATTAAATGGGCAAATGGCACAAAGCTAATACATTGACATCTTCCTCCTTTCCAGAGGACCTGACAAGCTGGAATAAAGGTTCAACAAGAGGAAGTATTCAGAGACAAATGAAAAATAATGTACAAAAAAGAACAACAGGGGCCAGGCACAGTGGTGTACACTTATAATCCCAGCAGCTCSRGAGGCTGAGGCAGGATGATCACAAGTTCAAAGCTGGCATCAGCAACTTAGCAAGAATTTGTCTCTRCATAAAATATAAAAAGGGCTAGAAATGTGACTCAGAACAACTATTGTGACAACTATTTATGTAGTATTCATATTGTATTAATATTACAGATAATTTAAAGACTATGTAAATTATACAGAAGGATATATGTAGGTTATATGCAAATACTATGCCAGTTTATATAGGGGATCAAGCATCTGCCAGTTTTGGTATCCTTGGGGAATGGTGCTGTCCCCATGAATACCAAAGGACAGCTATACATGGTCCAGATGTAAAACAGGAGGAAGTAACTAACTGGCTTGTGGAGAGGACAATATCTGAGCACTGTTTTGCTTGAAGAATAGGAAATCATGAGAAAATTTGTGAGGGAATTGTGTAAAAAGTTGGTAAGATGAGAAATTACACATGATTTAGTCTACTAGAGGTGAGGTAGGGTGTTGTAGGAAGATAGGCAGGGGAAGGTCACAAAGAGAAGACAGACGTAATAATAGCAAATAGGAAATAAAATGGGGTTTTGATCCATTGTGAACTTAGGTTAAATCAACAGTTTGATGGGCTGTTAGAAATGTGAACAAGCCTAGGTGTGGTGACACATACCTGTAATCCCAGCAACTCGGGAGGCTGAGACAGGAGAATTTCAAGTTGGGGGGCAGACTTGGCAACTTACTGGGACCCTGCCTCAAGATAAAAATAAAAAAGGGCTTGGAGGGGCTGAGGCTGTGGCTCAGTGGAAAAGTGCTTCCCTCACATATGTGAGGAACTGGGTTCAATCCTTAGCAACACATAAAAATAAATAAAGATATTGTGTGTTCATCTGCAACTAAATAAAAAAGGTGGGTGGGGGGCACTTGGAGTATAGCTCAGTGGTAGAGTGCCATTGGGTTCAATCCTCAGTACCACACCAAAAAAGTCAAGGGGATGGAAGTTGTAACTCAGTTGTAGAGCACTTTCTTGGCATGTAGTCCCTGGGTTCAATCCCTAGTACCACAAAAAAAAAAAAAAAAAAAAAAGGAAAGAAATCTTTACATTGACTCTTGGGCTACGTCCAGAAATGTTCAGTCCAAGCTGGTGTGGTGCACATGCCTTTAATCCCAGAGACTCAGGAGGAGGCTGAAGTRAGAGGATCACAAGTTCGGGGCCAACCTGAGCAATTCAGTAAGACCCTCTCTCAAAATTAAAAATTAAAAAGGATTGTGAATACAGCTCTATGCTAAAGCACCTCTAGGTTCTATCTTGAGTACCAAGAAGAAAAAAAAAAGAAATGTTGAATCTAGAACCAGGGAAGTGAGCCCTTCTGTTCACTCTTCTGAGTGTGATGTTATTGTCCTGGACTTCAAGCTGGGACATGTTGGTTGGGGAAGGAGGAATGTCATGACGGAATAATCTCAAAACCATGTCACAAGATGTAGGTGAAGCACCTAAGAGCTAAAGCAGGACTGTGGGTGAGGACCACAGCAAGATGTGATGTTGGGGATGGAAGGGTTTCCTCATTTAACCTTGGCTTCCCCTTCACTGGAAATGAGCAAGAAGCAGCTAGAGAACCACTTGGAGGCAATGGTGAATGCCTGATTGAGCATTAAATAGAGGGAAAGACTTGACCTGAGGTCTGGAGGCCTGTCTGGCCCATTTTTTGATGTTTTACAGCAATTACTCTGAAACCCTTCCTTCTGCCATCTGAGGCAGGCCACAGAAGCCACACTCCTCTCCTCAACCCTGTGTGTTGTCCTTTATGAAATACTGAAAAGGAATACATGAAATGCCTCTAAGAAAAGGTCAGCAGCCAAGTTATCCCATAGCAATTTCTGTGGTATGGGTATGTTCTTTCTGCACTGCCTGAGACAGAAACCATTGGCCTCATAGAGCTGTTGGGCACTTAGAGTGTGGCTAGGGAAACTCAGGAGCTACATTTTAATTTACAAATTTTAAATGTCCACAAAAGTCTTAGTGGCTACCATATTGGATGGTGGCCAAATTAAAGTGTTGGCGATACTGTATTATAGATAGTCATACCCAAGAAAAAAAATCCTTTCAGACCATATTTAAGGTATAAAAAGATAGCCATGGGACACAGGAAGAAAAATTGAATTTATAGCTGGGCACTATTTTATTTATCTGTAAATAAAATACAAAATAGGGCTGAGGATATGGCTCAGTGTTTGAGTGACCCTGAGTTTAATACCCTGTACCCCAAAAAAAGAAAAATTGTATTTCTCAACTAGATTGAGTTTCTCTTATCTGAAATATTTGGAACTGGGAGAGGTTTAGATCTAAGATTTTTTTCAGATTTATTTATTTTTAATTTTGGGGGGGTTTTCAATGGACTTTTATTTTCATTTATTTATATGTGGTGCTGAGAATTGAACCCAGTGCCTCACACATGCTAGGCAAGTGCTCTGCCACTGAGCTACAACCCCAAGGTTATTTTTGTTTGTTTTGTTACCAGGAATTGAACCAACCCAGGGGTGCTTAGCCACTGAACCACATCCCAAGCCCTATTTATTTTTTATTTTGAGACAGGGTCTTGTCTAAGTTGTTTAGGGCCTCTCTAAATTGCTGACCTCGAACTTTCTAACCTCTTGCCTCAGCCTCCTGAATTGCTGAGATTACAGGCATGTGCCACCACACCTGGCTATATATTTAATTTTTTTTGCAGTACTGGGGATCAAAAACAGTGGCACTGTACCATTGAGCATCATCCTCAACTCTCTATTTTGAGACAGGGTCTTATGAAGTTGCCCAGGTTGTCCTCAAATTTGTGATTCTCCTGCCTCGGTCTCCAGAGTAGCTGGGATTATAGGCATATGCTACTGTGCCCAGCCAGATTTTGGAATATTTGCATATACTTAATGGGGAATGGGACCCAAATCTAAATAAGAAATTAATTTGTTTCATGTATACTTATGTGCATAGCCCAAAGGTGATTTTATGGAATGTTTTTAGTGTGCCTATTTTTGACTGGAAACCATCATATGAGGTCAGATGTGGATTTTTTTTCCCTTGTGTCATCCTGCTAAGATTTTTTTTTAATATTTATTTTTTAGTCATATTTGGACACAATACCTTTCTTTCTTTATTTATTTTATTAGCTACACATGACATTACAATGATCTTAGCAGTTCATACATTTGAATCAAATGGGGTATAATTTCTCATTTTTCTGATTGTACAGATTGCAGAATCACACTGGTCATACAGTCACCTATATACATACAGCAATCATAATGTCTATTTTATTTTGCTGCCCTTCCTATCCCTCCTTCCCCTCCCCTCCCCTCCTATCACTTCTCTCTATCCAATCTAATGTGACACACTTTTTTTTTTCTTTTTCTCCTCACAGCATCATACATGTATTCTTTATAACAATGAGGGTCTCCTTCCATCTTCCGTGCAATTCCCCTTCTCCCTCCTTTCCCCTCCCACCTCTCTTCCCTATTTAGTGGTAATCTTCTTCTCCTGCTCTTCCTCCCTATCCCATTTTGAGTCACCCATATTTATTTATTTTTATGTGGTGCTGAGGATTGAACCCAGGGCCTCACACATGCTAGGGGAGCGCTCTACCACTGAGCCACAACCCTAGCCCCTGCTAAGATTTTAGAGTATTTTGAATTTCAAGTTTGCATGTCAGGGATGCTCAATCTAGCCAGGTATAGTGGTGCACATGTGTAATCACAGCTACTTGTGAGGCTGAGGTAAGAGGATCAAAAGTTCAAGGCTAGCTTGGGCAACTTTGTGAGGCACTGTCTCTGAAAAAATAAAAAGGGCCGGGGATGTAGGTCAGTGGTAGAGGGCTTGCTTAGGATATGTGAGGCCCCAGGTACAATCCCCAGTCCTACTGCCAAAAAAAGTTTTAAAAAGAGGGATGTTTAACCAGTACTAACAGACCAACACTGCTCTCACCATTTTATCCACATTATATGATTTTATTTTCATTCTGAATATGAGAAACAGCTRTTGTTATCCTCATTTTATAAGAAGTTGAAAGTTAGGGGTGGGTAAGTGCCTTGTTCAGTGTCACATACCTATCTGGAAGTCTAACCTAGGTCTGTCTCCTAAGCCCTTTTTCTTCCTTCTGTCTTAGTCATTCTTCAGTGTTTTGGGTTACCCATGTAAATATTTTCCTGCCTATGAGCAGCATGTGGTTTTTGCCACTGCTCTAAGCATAAATGAAGATGGTAGAAGAATTAGACTAATAAATACATTCAGCCTCTAAAAGCCCTCAAATTCATATGGAGCTCAAAATCAAAAGACCTGGATTTCAGACAAGTTAGCCTTTCTAAATCTATTTCCCGTTTTCTGCTGGGAAAACACTCCCTTCATTCTATATGCACATTTTTAGTAGATTTCTGGTGTCCTCTGTCCTGTTCCAGTCCTCATCTCATCAGGTCTTATTTACTTCTGCAGGTCGTACACCCTGGAGACCTAAAGAATTCAGTTGAAGTCGCCCTGAACAAGTTGCTAGATCCCATTCGGGAAAAGTTTAATACCCCTGCCCTGAAGAAGTTGGCCAGTGCTGCCTACCCTGATCCCTCAAAGCAGAGTAAGGCCCACTGGGGTCGGGAAGGGCCAGGAAAAAGGTTACAGTTTCAGAAAAGAGCCTGTCAATGGGTCTTAGAAACATGTCTATCTTAAATGGAGGACCCAAGAATCCAGTCTCAAGTGCAAAACTGTCTTATAGCACTAACTCCTGGATTAAGATTTGATTTGTTTTGATTGGGTTTGGTAGATTCCATAAAGTGATTATGTCCTACTGCACCAGCATCTTAAAAGAGGCAGATGGGAGACATGTACTTAGATCCTTCTAGTCTGTGTTCACTAAATCTGCTGCTTCAGTAGGAGAGTGATTGGGTTAAATAAACCCGGTACACCTAATCAGTATGTAGGGTGAAAAGCTGTTATAGAGCCTGCAGAGCCTCTTACAAGAGCTCAATTTTAGCTGGGTGTAGTGGCACACACCTGTGATCCCGGCAATTCAGGAGGTTGAGGCAGGAGGGTCACAAGTTGCCTCAGCAACTTAGTGAGACCCTGTCTCAAAGTAAAAAGGGCTGGGGATGTAGCTCAGTGGTAAAGTGCCCCTGAATTAAATCCCTTGTACCCTCCACCAAAAAAACAAAAATACTTCATCTTTAGGATCTCCCAATTCCCTGGCTTCTTCTGGCTCTTAGTCCACCGTTCACTTGAGATATTGGCACTGACAATTTTATGTGACCTTTCCAGAAAAGACTCGGTAAATCCTATGTGGAATGCATGAATGGAAACACCCAAAGGTGGCAAAGCTTTACAGTCCTCTCACTTCCAACCTATGAACTGAGGGAGAGAGTAGATGAAAATCTGGCATGTCATTTCTGAAAGACTGCCAACCCTGTTTTAAAGCATAAGTTAGTGGGTAGGTTCTGGGGATTCTCTACTAAATCTTGCCTAATCTTGTGTTCTCATCTGGTGAGATTAGCAGCTGACCTTCCATGGGAGCAGGGAGTGGATCTTGACCCCATGGTGTTGTTCTCATTCCCAGAGGCCGTTGCCAAAGGCCCTGCCAAGAATTCAGAACCAGAGGAAGTTATCCCATCCCGGCTGGATATCCGCGTGGGGAAAATCATCAGTGTAGAGAAGGTACTCATTTTTCACCACATTCCAGAGAAGCAGAGACGGGGGTCAGGTTTGTCTGTTTCCTTCTGGAAGAAACCTGGTCTAGAGAGGGCAAGTAACATCTCTGAGGTCATGTTGCAAGTCAGAACCCCAGTGTCTCCTTCCAGGCATCAGGCTTTCCATAGCCATTTGCTGCCCCTAGACCTTACACAACCAAACATAGCCAGGAACTGAACGCAGGAGGCAGATGTCAGAGGGAACTTGTTTACCCGTTAAAACTGACCTGATGGGCTTTCCTGTCTGTAGCAGCTTGCCTGGACTAGTTACAAGCCTTATCTTGGATTAGCCACATTGCCTGCCCCTCAGACAGTGGTAGAGAGAAGATGATTCACTTTTTCCCAGAGACAGAAGGTCACGAAGTCAGCTGCTGGGGACCATCCTGACCTTTTCACCCTCCCTCCAACCTCTACATGCCCCAGACACCCCCCACCCCACCCTCTGCTCCCAGCATTGACTTGGTTTTCACGCACTACCTTGAAATGACTGTTGATGCTCCTGCCTCAGATGATGAAGCCAACACTTACCTTCCCACCTCCCAGTCACTTGGGACACACTGGTGTAGCGTGTGTGCCATAGTGATAGCCACTAACAGTTCGGTTCATTTAATCTCTGATAGAAATTCTTCCAGAAGCAATTATATTCATTTTAGCAAATTTGGCCTCTTGGTTGGGAGTAGAATATACCTTCAAGGCCTCTGCTATCTGCTGTCTGGTGATCTGGAAATAGTTACCTCTAGAGGGTCCCTCCATGGGACTCTGTAAGGAGCAGATATCCCTTTTTGGAGACAAGAGTTCACTGGGCCCCCGATCTGCTCTACTGGGATACTCTCCTACCTGTTATCTCTTGCTGGCAGCACCCAGATGCAGACAGCCTGTATGTGGAGAAGATTGATGTGGGGGAAGCTGAACCACGGACTGTGGTGAGCGGCCTGGTACAATTTGTGCCCAAGGAGGAACTACAGAACAGGCTTGTGGTGGTGCTGTGCAACCTGAAACCCCAGAAGATGAGAGGAGTTGAGTCCCAAGGCATGCTTCTGTGTGCCTCCATGTGAGTAAGGACCAGATGGGGCTCAGGATCTGGGGAGGCCAAGAGCGGGGAGCTGGACCCTATGATGCCCGGTGGAAGCCCTGAGAAAACACACCTCACTGATGCCAAAAAAGTGATGTCTGAAGGAATTATTCAAGTATCATGAATGAGACACTACCCAAGTTAATTTTGTTAAAACAGAAATGGAGGTGTGCACTTGCCCATGCCTTACTATCAGTTAAGAGCTGGAGGCAAGATTCAAACCAGGTTCTGATTGGCTGTAAAGTCTTTACTGCATTATTTCATACTTCCTCTGGAGATCCAGATTTGGTTATCTCTTCTAACATAGGAATTTAATAGCCCCATTTAATCTAAACTGGTGATGTCCAAAGATGTGCTAAAGTAATGAGGACCTCCTGGGGCCATGGCTTTGAAGATGTTCTAAATCCCATCAGGGCCCTTTGGAAAGGCCCAGATCACTTTGGCTTCCACAGCCCTGGGAAGCCATCTGTAGCCTCACCCTTCCTTTGTCCTGTGTGTCTTCTCAGAGAAGGGGAAAGCCGCCAGGTTGAACCTCTGGACCCTCCTGCAGGCTCTGCTCCTGGTGAGCGAGTGTTTGTTAAGGGCTATGAGAAGGGCCAACCAGATGAAGAACTTAAGCCCAAGAAGAAAGTTTTCGAAAAGTTACAGGTAAATGCTGCATTGTTCCCTTTTGCCTGCTACTGGGCCCTGTCCCTACTCTTCTTTGTTAGTGAATCCACAGCTGTCTCAGTCCCAACTGGGACTTCGGCTTTCTTCATCCCAGACCTTGCTGTAAGTGAGATGTCTGAGGGGCCTGGAGGTCTCAGAAGGACCTCTCATGTACCTAGCTTTGACAGGCTATTTGAGGCACTATGTAAGAAACTTCAGACACTTCTTATTTATCTCCAGGCTGTGACAGGAGATGGAGATTATCTCCATTTTACCTGGCAGGATATCTGCCAAAGCCAAAAGTGATGGAGCCAAGGGCTGGTGCTGCATCTCAGTGGTAGAGTGTTTGCCTAGCCTGCAAGAGGCCCCAGGTTCCATCCCCATCACAAACGAGAAGAAGAAAAAGTAAAAGATGGAGCCAGAATCAAAACCCTCTTAGGGCCAGGCATGGTGGCTCACACCTATAATCCCAGTAACTGGGAAGGCTTAAGCAGGAGGACCACAAGTTCGAGGACAGCCTCAGCAATTTAGCAAGACCCTGAGCAACTTAGTGAGACCCTGTCAGAAATTTTAAAAAAATTAAAAGGGCTTGGGGATGTAGCTCAGTGGTAAAGCATCCCTGAGTTCAGTCCCTAGTGCCAATAAATAAATAAATAAACAAACAAACCCTTGTAGGGTCCCTCTCCCCACCTTGACCCTTGGATACTCATTCTCTCCTTGCCTTCTGGACACTAACTCACATATGGTCTGCCCCAGTGATCTCTGAATTCATTCATTCACTCATTTAGCAAATGTCAAATCCATAATATGTATCAGGCACTATTCTAGGAGCTTGGGCTATATCACTGAACAAAACAGCAAAAATTGCCTCTCATGGAACTAACACCTCCGTGTGCCTTTTTCAATACCTGTTTCCTCAAAATGCTTCTGGAGGTGTTTAAACAGTGTGTGTCTCCTGTATGTAGCAAATGGGTTTTTATGGTGACTATGAATCACTTATTTTTTTTCTGGCTATAAAATAAAATTTTCATAGTAGAAAAGGTCTAAAATATAGATGGGGGTAATGAAGAAAATAAAATATCMAGCCAGACACCATGGTGCATGCCTGAATCCCAGTGTCTTGCAGGCTAAGGCAGGAGAGTTGCAAGTTCAAGGCCAGCCTCAGCAACTTAGTGAGACCGTTTCAAAATTTAAAATGGCTACAGATGTAGCCCCGTGGTAAAGAAGCCTAGGTTCATTTTTTTTTTTTTTTTTTTAAAGAAAGAGAGAGAGGGAGAGAGAGAGAATTTTAATATTTATTTTTTAGTATTTGGCGGACACAACATCTTAGTTTGTATGTGGTGCTGAGGATCGAACCCGGGGCCGCACGCATGCTAGGCGAGTGCGCTACCGCTTGAGCCACATCCCCAGCCCAGAAGCCTAGGTTCAATCTCAAGTATTATAAAATAAATAATCAAGATAAGATATCCATAGTCCTGCCAAAGAGAAACTAAAAAAATGAAATTATTATTTCCTTTTGGTCCTTTGCTCTGCATAAAATGGATTTACAGTTTGATTCATACTGAAAGTTTTCTGTTTTAGTCAGATGTGGTGGCACACACCTATAATCCCAGTGACTTCAGAGGCTGAAGCAGGAGGATCCCAAGTTCCAGGCTAGCCATGGCTGTTTAGCAAGACTGTGTCTCAAAATGAAAAAGGAAAAAAAAAAAAAAAAGTCTGGGATAATAGGGATATAGCTGAGTGGTAAAAGTCTATGGTTCAATCCCCAGTACTGAATTTTTTTTCTACTTTATGCTCCCAGACTTTCTATATCTTAAATACTGAGGTCACACTACACAGCAGTTTATGACAATTATCATAATCTAATTTAAGACTTTACTAGCCATTGAGGGTGTTCTCATTGTTTCACTATTAGAATGTTACAGTGGGCTGGGTTGTCAGTCAGTGGTAGAGGATGCATGAGGCACTGGGTTCTATCCCCAACACCACACCACACACACAAAAAGAATGTTATGCTGGATGTCTTTTTTTTTTTTTTTTTTTAAAGAAAGAGTGAGAGAGAGAGAGAGAGAATTTTTTTAATATTTATTTATTTTTTGGCAGACACAACATCTTTGTTTGTATGTGGTGCTGAGGATCGAACCCGGGCAGCACGCATGCCAGGCGAGCACGCTACCGCTTGAGCCACATCCCCAGCCCCATATGCTGGATGTCTTATACAGAGATCTTTGTACTTAATTTTTCATGATTATTTTCTTAAACTAAATCTCTAAAATGAACTTACCTGAGACAAAAGATATGAACATGGAAGCTTTGACAAATTATTCTTAGAAAAGCTGAGCCAGGTTACACTAGAGTAGTGTAAGTTTCCTTGGGATCTCAACCACCACTGTTAACAACTTTTTTTTCCTCTATCTTAATCAGATTGACTTTAAGATTTCTGATGAGTGCATTGCACAGTGGAAGCAAACCAACTTCATGACCAAGCTGGGAAACATTTCCTGTAAAACACTGAAAGGAGGGAATATCAGCTAGCCAGCCCAGCATCTTCCCTGCTTCCACCGTCCTGAGTCTTCTGCTGTCTCAGTTTGTTCCATTTGTCACCTGTTTGCCCATCTCTAAGGACATTGAAGCAGCAGGTCTTGGACTCTCTTAGGTGCAAAACTGGGTAAGGGGCAGCATACCTCCCCAGAATCTGGACTCCTCCCATCTGGTACAGTGAGACTGAAACACCCCCCTGCCCCCGGGTGGTAAGTGGGGCTAGGCAGCGGTAGGGAACCCAGTTTTACCAGCTTCCTTTGGCAGCTGACTCAAGAATTCTGGTTTCAATATAACTCAGAAAAAGTTTATGCCACAATCCTTGTAATTAGAAAAACATTGGTTCCCAGGTTTTTTGGAGTTATCCCAGCAGCTGTGCCTCTAGCTGGAATCTGGTGCCTGGACTGGGCTAATTACAGTTTCTTCCCCAACAGGAAATTGTGGGATTTGAAAAGCAAAGAGAAGGGAGAACCTAGTGGTCTATCAAGTGGTTGGCAGCTTTCACACTGCCTGCCTACACTGGGGCTTGGTGTTGGTGGGAGACAGGGCCTGCCCCAGGGCTCCTGGAATTTCCCTTGATCCAGCCAGACTGAGACACTCCCTAAACCAGCTGTGTTGTTAGTTAGCATGGATGGCATGGTGTGTGTCTTCAGAGAGGGTGAGGTCTTTTCTCTATAAGGCGAGAAAATCGAATCACTAATCATCACTGTCAAATTCAAATAAAATGGTCTGAACATGTCTATCTGGATGGGGACTGTCTGTAAGTGTGAAGCAGCTGCTGGGTCCGTCTCCCAGCCTGGGGTTGCTTGTATCTTGTAAGTTTGGCATTGTGATGGGACAGTTGGGGGAACTGGTGGATGGCAGATACCTTTGGTTTCCCTTTGGTAGTGCTAAGCGCAGCAAGCAGAACATTTTCCCTTCTAAATATTGGCAGAGACCACTGCCCTGCCCTGCTCCACCCCCATTCAGCAGCAGCAGCAGCCAAATCCTTTTGTGGTTGATTAGTGTGGTGACTGAGTTTTCACACTAGTGTGTCAGGAGAGCTTTCCTCACACCTAGTTACCAGTGTTAGCCATTGAGAACATATTGCCCATTTGATGTGGAGGGAAGCAGCAGTCACAGCCAAGTTTCAATCATTTAATTAATTAATTAACACCTTTTAAATGAAACACAGAGCTTTTTCACCCCTCAAGCTTCAGGGCAGAGGGAATGGATTGTTTGTATAGACATATCAAAGACTCGAAAATTTAAAGAAATATATATATATATATACTTCTCTCTTCTAACATTTTTATGCAAATTAAAAATCAGAGGCTTTTGGTCTCTCCATTTGCACAAGGTCAAGCTCATTCACCTCAGAGAACAAAGGAGAGTTGCCTCTTCTGGATTCCCCCCTCTCCTTTGTGCTCTGGTCCACCAGGTGGGGGAACAAGCTCAGAAAATCCCAACTGAGGATAAGAGCTCCAGTAACATGGGAATAAAGAGGAGTCAGGCTCCCTCCACCTCCAGCAGTTCTGAAGGCCTAGTTTCATGGGGCTTTGACTGCTCCTGGGTTCTGGGTCCTGGGGTGGGGTGGATCAGAAGCTCCAAGCAGAAGAGTACTTACTGATTGCCTTCCCCTACTCACTGGACAGGTGCAACATATACCAGCAACAGCTCCCCATTATCCATGAGGCAAGGGAAAGATGTTGGTTTGTAGCCACTGAGAGAAGACAACAGTGGCAAACCAAAGAAACCCCAGAGCAGCAGCCAGAGGAACCCAGGCCCACACACCCCCATTCCCAGGGGTAGGAGGCATGGGCCAGTGTGTCACTGTCTGTAGTAGTGGAGAAGCTAAAAGGTTCCTTGCCAGGCTCAAGGCTGAGTCACTGCTGAGAAAAGAGGATCAAGAAGGGATGGCCCTGGGGAGCAGCCACACGGCTGTGCGCGCGAAGGTACTGGAGGCACCCCTGTAGAGCCAAGGGGACCAATGAGGAAGCCACCTGACCTAGATAGATCACACAAGCTAAAAACAGAAAGGTCATTAAAACTCCTGGAGGAGTGATCAGTAGCAGAGGCTGACATGTAGGAAGAGCCACCCAGCTCCCTCTGATAAGGGAAGGTTTTGGAGTAAGACTGCACCTCTGGCTTCCCATTCTTGCCACTCAAAATCAGCTCCCCCTGTGGAATCACCCATACTGAATGGCAGGAAGGACATGCACCAAAGAGTAGAGAAAGGTCAGAAAATAAGGTGCAAGGGCCAGACCTGGGCTGCTGCCCAAATAAGCTCCCCTGCCAGATCTCCCCTCCTGTCTCAGTACTCCTTGTGAAGCTGAAAAGGACACAGCCCATGGGCCCTGCCTCTGAAACTGTGCCTGCTGGATCAATCAAACAAGGGGCAGATGCCTGGCATGCCAAGGACCTGCTGAGATGACCTGCTACTGTGATTTGCTTGTGAGGACAGAGCCTGCAAACCTGCCCTCTCCTTCCTCCCCACACCCATTTAGAGCCTGGGAGTCCCCTAATTCTTGTCCCCTGCATGAAGCACCTGGCAGAGCTGGAAGGCAGGAGGTTGGTGGTAAACTGAGGCACAGGAAGGCTACCCCCACTGCACCTTTTGTGCTTTGGAATTCCACAGCCCCATTCCTGCCCCCAGCCTCGAGGAGCCTTTGGGAATGTGACTTGCCCACCTCCAAGAACTAAGAAAAGAGCGAACTGGATTGGGGAGGAGGGACAGTTTGGTCCCAGCTCTGGGCTGGTACCCAGGGATTGATGCTGCCACCATGTAAACAGACCCTTGGAACGTGGCTTCACAAGCCCTGGAGGATGGACATGCAGCCACTTCACAAAAGTGCTTTGATTCTGGACTACAATATGTGCATGATTTGGACTTGGGGGGGGGGGAACACATGAAGTGTTCTGCTCCCTTCTCTGTGGCCTCAGGGCCAGCAGGGGGCGCAGTCACCCACTCCCACCAGCTACCTCCTTCATGATGAGGCTAAGGCCAAGGCTGAAGGGACAGCTGCTGGAGGCGAGTCCTTTGAGGGGAAAGGCATGAGAGCTGGGTGATCTGGAGGACGGGCGACACCAGGCTTGCATAAATATCGAAGGCTGTGGAGGTTAAGGCTGCAGGCGTCCTCTCTTAGGTTGTGTCTGCTGTCCTCTCGTCCTTGGAGCTGCTCAGGTCCCTGAGAGATTGTATTCCTGGGATGGGTCAGCAGTGCCAGTGCATGGTCAGACCAGCTCTTTCTGTGGGTCTGTGAGAGAAAAAGGAACATTCAGTAAGGGGTGCCCAGTTTGGTTCAGACACTGAGAGCCCAAACACACTTTCACCCAGCCTTTCCCTAAACTCTCACTTGACAGACACCAGTGACAGCAGCTGGAAACTTGACTCAGACACTGTAAAGTAGGTGTCACTGTCCCACACTTCATAGCAGTAGGATAAGACAAAATGATAAGGTTGGAATACACCTGGTAGGTCTGAGGTCAAAGCCCCACCCCCATGTTCCTTTTCCTGTAGTTCGAGTGACAATTCACCTGTCCCAGGCCTCCTAAATCCAGTTATTTTTGTTTTGTTCCCTTTTGTTGTAAAAATTAACCATCTCAAGGACCCAAAAGCAAATGCCCAGTGGTAGGACTTCAAATATTTATTTCCTACCATCAGTGACAGGACCCACACCCACCACTGCGCACTATACCTGAGTCTGGGGGACCCATCTTCTCCTCTGGGCCCACCAGCTGCACAACGTCTCCGTTCTCTGCCAGCTCCCCCTTAGTCCTGTCCTCAGCATGAGGGAGCCCATTGGTAGGAGGAACAGTTATAGGTTCAGCCCGAGGAAAACTGGGAGAAGCAGGTAAGGGGACTCCCACAGAGGGCTTGCGGGCCACAGGTGGGGGAGCCTTCGGTGGCTTCTTCAGGGACTGGGATGGCCGCTGCTCCGAAATGCTCCTAAGTTCAGCCACCAGATTCCGCTGGAGGTCAGCCTGGGCCTCAGGGGACACTGGCCGTTCAAGCTGTAGCTTCTTAGTGCCCTTGGAGAAGATGAAGCTGGCTGTTGAGGCAGGAGACTGGGGAGACTGTGGCCGGGCCTCCGGTGGTCCATTGGGCTGGGCACTTCCAAGGCCCTCACTGGCAGCCAGGCTGGAGGCCTTGAGTAGGACGGCAGCATGGAGCCCGGAAGAGGGGACAGGCACAGGGCTAGCCCGACCTGACAGGGCCCTTCGCAGCGGCTTCTGGGGGGCTGATAGCCCTGATGCAGAAGCTGGAGCACCTGTGGGAGCGACCACAGAGCGCAGCCGCACCATCTGCAGGAGCGAAGGGGTGACCAGGGGCACACCAGCTTCGTCCCTGGAAGCCCCATTGCTCTTGTTGCAGCCTACTGGCTCCTTCCGGGGGAGTCTGACCAGCTCCGGGACAGAACTAGTTGCAGGTGGGGCTGGTGGGGCTGGAGGAGGGTCTGGGGTCCCCTGGGGCTGGCTCTGGGAGGCAGCCAGGGAGCTGACAGGCCCGGGGGCTACTGCAGACTCAGGGCTAGCCACAGAGAAAAAGGCCTCCTCAGGTGGGGGGAAGTCAGCCATGGACAGATCCTGCTCCTCAGGTGTAGGGGGTGGGGGTGGGGGCCAGTTGGGGTCTGGGGGGGGCTCCTCAGTCTCTAGGGCAGTTGGGGCCTCCTCAACCACCTCTAGTTTCTTACTAGGTGGGGGGGGTGGATGGTAAGATGGGGGTGGGGATGGTGGGGGTGACTGATCTTTGGAGACAACAGGAGACTCCTGGGGTGGGACCAGAGATATCTGGGGAGTGGGAAGAGACTCAGGACTAGTATCAGTGGTAGAGACAGGCCCAGGAACCACAGCAGGAGTGGCCAAAGTAGGAGCAGCTTTTTTAAGGCTCTTGGGCTTAGAAGGAGGAGGAGGAGAGAAGGGGGCAGGCACCTTGGGGTGAGGAGGTATGACAAACCTATCACTCGGGGGGATGGACATGTGTGGACCAGAGCGGTCTGAGGGAGTAGGATCAGAGGAGGAGGAGCACAGAGACGTGAGGGAAGAGGAGACAGAGACACCAGGAGACTGAAGGGAAGTGACCCTCTCTGGTTTAGGAGGCTGGGCCTTGCCTGGGGAAGCAGGGGCACCTGCCAGACCCTTGGGAGGTAGGGTCGGGGTACCACTTTGGCTCGAGTATCCACTGGAGGGTGAAAGTGTCCGTTCTGGGGATCGTGGGGGGTGCCGGGTGCCACCAGGAGACAAGCCAGGCACCCAGCTACTACCTGCCGAGGTGGGTGGACAAGGTGCTGCACCCACCCCTTCTGACCCACCTGTGGTGGGTGGCCGGGGAAGCTGCGGCTGCTGCTTCCGCTCAGGCTTAGGTGGCAACCCTAAGGGCCCATCGGGTGCCTCGGAGCCCCGCTGATGGAGGGAGTAGGTCCGGCGAGGAGGTGGAGGAGGCCGTTTCAGCTTCCGCAGGGAAACACTCCGGCCAGACAACTGCCCGCTGCTCCGAATGCTGACTGTGTCTGAGGCCTCGGCAGTGCTGCCCCCACTAGGGGAACCCCTCCCACTGCCCCCCTGGGGAGCTGGTGCCATGCTACTGCTGGCCACAGAGCCCTCTGGCTGACCCTCAGAACCCCCCTTTGAGGAGAGGGTGGAACCGTCAGATACAACAGTCTCAGAAGACTGAGAGTGGCTCCAGGTATCACTGGAAGAGGAAGGATGGCGGCTGCGGGGCTGGGGGCTGGAGACAGAGGAAAAGCGACCCAGGGAGC